CCCCCAAGCCCGAGCATTCTGCCCCCTAGGGCCGCCCCCCACCGGCCGTAGCCGCATCCTTGTCCTCGGCAGCGTGCGCTTCGCCTTCGCAGCTGTCAACATGTCTTTTCTGGGCAACCCGCCGTCCAACTACCACACGCCGCCCTTTCCGTCCCTCAACGTCCACACGCTCCAAGACCGCACGCCCAATCGCACCTACACGCTCTATCGTATTACAGATGTCTGGAAGTTTACCGTACTATGGACCTTGATCACTTATATATTTTTCCACCTCGGAGCGGTGCTAGTGGCCGTGTCTAGTCACGGGCTCAAGAAAGGGTCGTGGCGGTTTCTCTGGGCTGTTCCCATCATATACCTATTGATAGCAGGCATTGAGGCTTTTATAGCTGGGAGTATTGTCGGGCTTGTGTAAGCTTCATGTCCGGGCCCAAATGAACATTTACTAACAGGCTGTAGGCTCGGAGCGGTGTATAAAGCCGGATACTACGAAATGAATACCTGGATCCCGTGCACATGGGGATTTATCAACGTTCTCGTATTGATAATATCGTCGTTTTCGGTACAAGGCGGACTTTGAAGAAGGAAAAAAGAAGACTGCGATTCAGGACGTAGTACCGACGCGCCAAAGTCTGCGTTATCCGAATCGATGCAGCGGCAAATATGCATTGTCACGCTCCGCTCATATGAGTCCGTACCGCTGGAATCGAGACAGTTCAGAACAAAAACTGTGCAACCCAACACTACATTCTGCACAATCTGCTCATCAATGGAACTGGGACTACAAACATTGCGGCTGATGTGTCCGAGTGGCACTCAATGGCTCCTGCGTAGGACAGTCTCCATTTGGGAACTTGTCCCTAAAGCCTTGTTCACCGCCACTGGCGAGGTAAACGAAAAACGGTTGACGTGCTCACGTTTATCCAAACATGGCAGATCTTGAAGGACAGAATAAATTGCGCCTGCAGAGTAATTTAGACAATCCCTTTTAGGCCTTTGCAAAATGTCTCTGTAGGATGGGAGTACGCACTGCGCTGCTTGGGCGCCTCACGCCCGTTTGGATTCACGAGTAGCCACCCCAAGCTCAAAATGGAGCGAAGTCGCTGGGACAAGGATGTATATGCACAGCCAAGTTGCAAGCTACTCGTGTGCGCCTGTCCTGGTAAACATGTTGCACCACCAACTGCAAGTAGCAGATCACCACAGCACACAGAGTCAAGTTCACAAGCCTAAGCTGTAGTAATTTGGCGCAACGGCTCAACAATAACATAATCCAAATCACAACAAGAAAAGGACATGTTATAGTTCTCCAGTCATTGAATCTCGTCCCCCAGGTCGGCTGCAATTACGTCAAGCAACGACATTATTGAAGTCAAGCAGGCCGCCCCACAACCCGAAGCCCCTAGCGCCAGTCAGACAACACTCAGACAACCCGCGCCCAATGTCCGTCTAACATGCGCCTCCAAGCCGCACAAACTATTTGCATTGTCTCTCACAAACAATCCCATCCCTCGCAAGCATCCCAATCACCTCGACTCCGACAATCGTCCATCCATCCCTTATTAAACGCAAATCCTCCCCCTCCAAGAACAAAAAAAGGGAAAGAAAGCAAGCTCACTCCTCCCCCTCCAACCTCTGCGAAAACACCATGGCGATGTAAAACCACACTTGACCCGCCCATTACAAAGGAAAAATGTCCACCCAATGGAGCGAAACGCTCAGCTTCGAGGGCCGCCACACCCTCTCGCCTCCCTCGCCCGAACCGCCTGAACCAAGGACTCACACATGGAGCCAACCGCCCCTCAAGAACCTCACCCCAGGCCAGTCCATGTCCCTCGCGGGCATATCCCTCCGCGCCTTCGCCCTCGGCCTCACCACCTCCCTCGGGCTCGTGTCCACGGTGCTCATCCTGACGCTCACGTCCTCGCCGCTCTGGCGCATCCCCTTCTTCCTCTGCGCCCTGTCCACGTTCCACTTCCTCGAGTTCTGGACCACCGCCGCGGCAAACACCCCCGAGGCGACGGTTCACTCCTTCCTGCTGACGGCGAACTGGCCCGCGTACCCCGTCGCCCACACCGTAGCGTGCGTAGAGTGCGTGCTGACCAAGGTGGTGTTTCCGGGCCGGAGCTGGGCGCCGCTTGGGCTGGGCACGGCCCTGATGCTGACGGGCCTGGTCATGGTTGTGGGAGGCCAGGTGGTGAGGAGCGCGGCCATGTTGACGGCGGGACAGAGCTTCAATCACACGGTGCAGACGAGGAAGGCGGATTCGCATACGCTCGTCACCACGGGCGTCTACGGGCTCTGGAGGCATCCTAGCTACTTTGGTTTCTTTTACTGGGGGCTGGGCACGCAGCTGGTCCTGGGGAACGTGTTTTGCTTCGTGGGGTATGCGTATGTCCTGTGGAAGTTTTTCAGCAGTAGGGTGAGGGTAGAGGAGAGGGGACTGGTCAAGTTTTTTGGGGATGATTATGTACAGTACAGAAGGAGGGTTGGAACTATGATTCCGTTTGTCGGTTAGTGCTTGCTCCGTGTGTGTGTGTTTTTAATGAATTTTGTTCCAGTTAACGAGTGGTCTTGGGAGTAGATTTAGGGTTTGGGTACGATAGTTTGGATTGCTAAGACTGAGACTGGGTCAAGATCAAGGATTGGGTCACATGAGAGGCACAGCGTGTAGAATATCGTGTATAAAATTTATCCAAAGATGGTCACTACCCAAGTCGTAATGTCTTCCTTCGAGTTTTCTAACCTCATGTCTGCAACGCAAGAATCGGTTCTTTACTGACGCTACCGTACTTGGCCTGCCATGCGTAAAAGTACATCAATGCCGCAAATGGCTGACCGAAGATGGTAAAGGACACCCAAAAGATTACGTTTCCCATTACTCTGCCGGTATGCCCCCATTTCATTTTCTCTAGAGGGGCCGTGATGGCGATGAGAGGAAGCTGCAAGAACATGCCTAGAAAAGCAACGCCTGAATATAGGTTAGGAACGAGGGTCAAGACGATGGATAAGACGGAGGATAGCGTACCGATAATGTTGTGGGTGGGAACACCAACAAGAACCTCGTGTAACACGGCAGACACAAAAAAGACGGCGCAACTTGCAGCCCATGGGCTCCATCCACGCCCAATCATGGGTACATACACATGGCGCTTAAAGTACGTATATACGGGCCTGTTCCACGTTCTCCAGTAGGCTCCGAGACTCTCGCTGTTCCACCAGTCGTCGTAAAATGATCGGTCGCCGAACCGCAGCACTTCGGCAAGTGCGTTTAAGAAGGACTGGAATAGGGCAAAGAATCCTGCCAGCCAAATAACCAGAGAAATGGTTGACAGCTTCAGCAGCCGCTCTAGGATCATGAGTAAGTCCAACGAAGCAATCTTGTCGAGCGAATTCTGCAGAACCGGCGCGGCGTATTGGAAGCTGGCGAACCAGATGAATGCGCTCAAACAGCATACTTCGCCCAGCCTCTTAAAAACAAAGACCCATCTGATCTTGTCGGTGCGCGGGTATACGGGCTGATAGACCAGCGTCGGCGCCCACCAGAAGTAGGCGAGGTTGCCAAAGGTGATGTTATTCGGGTACGGGCATTTCGAGTAGAGTTCAGGAATAAACTCTCCTTTAACGGGGTGCAGGTAAGCGTGGCGAAGATCTCGGTTGGTGAATGCGTACGAGGCTGTCTTCAACGACACAATGACGGCATGCATCTCGGTCAGGGTCCCAACGAGCGGGTGGTGGATGTAAAAGTAAACCATAAAGGTTGTGAGGGCTAAAGCAAGCGTCATATTGATACCATGAGCCCAGGCCACCAGAACCCATGTTGAATGGAACTTGGAATTGTCTTGTTCCGACGGTACAGTAGAGCCTGGTTTGAGGCGCTTTCGGGATCCTCGAGCCTGTTTTGCGGCGGCCAATTCGATCAAGTAGGCAACCAACAGATGGCAGGGAATGAGAAAGTAGAGAAGTCCGCCGATGAGGACATCTTCATTCTTGTAGGAATGACATCGAAGGCATATCAAAACACCATACTGCGAGGGCGGTTAGGAATGAGCACACACGACACGCGTGATTGGGGGTGCGGTGCATTGTAATTTGTAGCATGCCTTTTTCAAATTCTCAATCATCAATCGTAAATTACCCACAACTACATCGAGGTCAGTAAGCGGCAGTAGTTGTTTGCAGTGGACTGATCTGGTTTTGCTTGCGTACCCAAAACAATGACCATGAGATTTCGAAACCCGATAAAGCTTGGCGTGGCATCGGAGTCGTGGCTTAGGCACGACGGGCGGCTCTTGGAATGCACTGCTGCTACGTGGCGATAGTTCTTCTGGGCGACAGAGGCTCTGGGCTTCTCGGCTGCGGCTGCGTCTTCGGATTCTTCTTCCACCGGGCCGGGAGATGCATTGCCGTTGCGACGCTTGGTGGCATTTCTCTTGCTCACGGTGCCATTCGCTGGGCTGACACTGGTGGTGGTGGCCGTGCTCATCATGGAGCTATCCTGGTGATGTCAGTCGGGCAGAGAAGGGCTGCAAGAGGGCGGTCAGCAAACAACTGTGGCCAGCCGCGAAGAGCGAAGCTGAAGCTCACAATGGCAGGATAAGTGAAGAAGGGGAAAAGGATAGGGAAAAAAAGGGAGGAGGACGAGGGCAGGATGACGAGCAGGTCAGTTGGAAGCTCAAGCCTAAATGGAGGGGCAAAGAAAGTCGCCGTCTCCAGATATACTAGAATGGAGCTTGTTCTTGGGGCTTCCCTGTTTTGCCTTGTCTCCTCTTGTCTCTCGCTTCTCGTCTCTCGGCGCGACATTGCCTGCCAATGCCTGCCAATGCCTGCACCCAAGACTCTGCAGCGTTGCCGGCCGATCAACATGGACAAATACCTTCAACTCCCACCGTCAGATCCTTTTAGTGCAGTGCAAATCCAACCGGCGTCTATCTTGGCCATGGCATCGAATCAGCCGCTGTCCCTTCAGCCACAAATCCCCGCGTCCAGCGGAGGAGGTTGAGGAGATACGAGGAGAAACGAGGCGCGACGACTCCATCAGGGCCAGATAGTGCCCCAACAATCAATCGACCGAATCGAAGCTATCGAAGCCATCACTTCACCTACAAGCTCTGGTCGCGATTGCGATGCTGCGAAAAGCTCATGTACATGGATGCCCGGCTCCTGCGTCACGATGCGTCAACCACCTCAAAGTGGCGACCAGCTTGGCGGGTCGTTTCCAGTCCTTCTCGGTCCTCAACTGTCAATCGTGGCGTTAGATTGCCATCGTCGTTGACGGTTCGCTGCGGCTCGTGAACAGGGTCTGGCCAGGACAGGAGCAGGGGTCAGCCATCAATCATCAAGACCTGGCGAAAGCATGTGAAAGCCCATTCTGACGACTCTGCTTGCATGCCCAATTTACAGCATGCCGCATTATTCGAGGCCGAGGTCAGAGAAAATATCACCATCTACTGGTCCAACTTCGAAAATTTTCCGAACCACGGACCCCGGCAACCTTGCCTTGGTACAAATTTAATTTTTTTCTGGAAGCTCGGCCCAGGGAATTTCGCCACCTCTTTTCGGGTCTGTTGCCCGCCGCTGTTTTTCTCTCTATCATCAAGAACTTTCACATGTCGCGTTTCTTTTGACATCACTGAAATCGTGCCATACTTCAAATTGATACCACTTAGGTACTTGACAGGAAAGCAGTTGGTCAATTGCCTTTCATTCCATAACTTCAGCGCCCAAACAACCCCAACCCACCGCCTTTGCTTGAGGACACACCATGAACCATCACATGACCGGCTCGACCTCGCAGGGAAAAATGAGACAAACAGCCAAGTTAAAATTCGAGCGGATGCAGGGATTGAACCAGTGATGTCCAACACCATGTGAGTCTACAGTAATACCGTAACAGACGAAAAGAGAGCTTGACCCAGCAAGAGACCGGGCTACATGGCAGTGCCGCGTTATCATGTACACTACTCCGTACTCCGCCTTCATCTATGCATAATAGGCATCCGATATATCATGCCAGAGACTATTCTTGTTTCGTTTGATACAAACTTGCGATTTTGGAGACGAAGTTGCATAGGCCCAACATGACTGATCTCACACCTGCGATGAGGAGCCAAGGCTGGTTACTAAGCATGTGGAATTGCATTGTTGCCCATTGTGGGAGCCGGCGCCCCAAATTACGCAGCTACCCGATGACATCTTCAGATGCCCAAGTTAGGGTGAATGACTGTGGTTTTTCATCAGTATCGACATTCCTAGACTTGTTCCTATGGCTCCGCCGGTCGTCACGCCTCGCACCGTCATGCCCTCCGCTCCCCTCTCCCAGGCGAAGCAGAAGATGATTTGCGGGGAGATGTACCATGCGTTCACCCCCGAACTCATAGCAGACCGTTCCAGAGCCAAGGCGGCCATGAGGCGCTACAATGCTGCCGTAGGAGAGGTGTCGCGGCGAGAGGAAGTTCGCCTCTGGAGAGAGTAAGTCCCTAGTGGACTATGTATGGTCTGGATATCAGTGACCCAATTGGTATACCGACCCCTTACTTACTGGCCTCGAATTCAGAGTAGTAGGCGACACCACACCTCTCCCCCCAGAGCTACCTGATGCTGCAGAAGACGAGGCACAGTTTGAAGATGATCCAATAGTAGACGTCCCTGTGTTGGTGGACTATGGCACACAGGTCAAGCTAGGAAAAGGAGTCTTCATCAACTGCTACTCAACCTGGATTGATACCTGCCCCATTACCGTCGGTGACCGCACCATGTTCGGCCCCAACGTCTCATTGTATAGTGGCAAACATCCGCTTGAGCCAGAGATCCGCAACGGCATCAAGGGTCCGGAATCAGGCGCACCAATTACTATTGGAGAGGACTGTTGGATTGGCGGAAGCGCCATCATTTTGCCAGGAGTGACCATTGGTCGAGGTTCGACTGTGGGCGCTGGAAGTGTTGTCACCAAGGTCCGTTTTGCTTGCATATACTAAATAAATGTTGGGACGCATCGAAACTGACATTTCCAAAGGACGTGCCACCGTTTCACGTGGTCGCGGGCAACCCTGCACGTATTATACGCAAGATAAAGTCCACATTGGATCCGGAGCAGAACGAGTCGAGGTGCGAGACCTGAAAGCTCACGTCACAATCGCACACTGGGTGGATACAACCTCCACGCCTAGCATTTGAAAACCACGAACAGAGCGTTGTGCATCGAGAAGTAGAAACATTGTCGCTGGCGTATGCAATTAGAACATGAAATGGTAAATCTAGTTTTTGTTGATTCCAATGTCAATCCGCGCCATCTTCGAAACCAATATTTGGCATCACATGACTTGGTGACCGACCCACGGCAAAATGCCGCTTAAACTGACCAGGCTTTCCCTGATGGTGCAGAACTCACGCGCTCAGTCACATCGCCCAACCACAAGCATCTCACCTGACGACGGCATTCGCCCAGCTGATGTTTGACCACAATAGTCAGCAATCTTTCTTTCCGAGTCATTCCGTATTGTGTGCTTAAACTTGTCATTGAGCTTGCTCATAGGACCTGCATGCGTGAATTTGCTGCTCACTAGCCACAGCAATGGCTTACGAGCCACGCGGTGAGCATGGGGGAGGTGGTGGCCAGGATGGCACATCCATGAAGGCAAGAGGTCGAAGTAAGTATTTGCATAGCCTATCCTTTATTGACAACTCTGTTTTGTGCACACGGATATTGGACAGCTTCATGAGGCGTGCCGGCCGTCGGGGGATCACCGGGTGGGCTCGAGGTCATACGACGTCAAGTGAAGAATTGGGCGCTTCTCGAGATGAGCCTTGGGTATCAACCGTGGACTGGATATATCCCAGTAGGAAGCCTGCATCTGTGATTGGCGATGAACCAATCATGAGCCTTTTCAGAATCTTGCTTGCCGAGAGGATGAGCCCCAAATCAGCACTGTTGTCGTGGAATCTGGTGATATGCGAAGATACCAACAGTCGTATCCGTCCACACACATTTTTTGGAGGCGTCATGTATCTATGGCCCGTGATAAAGCTGACAATCATGAAAGGGCCCGTTACCGATTACAGTTCTACTGTCACGCACTGGTTGCGGAATAGAGTCCCCAACTACAAGGGCTCGTACAATGGCGAGGCGGAGCGGCCAAGCGCAAGCTATATCGTCGACGTAAGGGACATCAAGTTCAAACATATATTGCCCATCCAATTGCCTCTTGCTGACTGTTCTTCTCAAGATGCTGCCACCTGCCGCGCGACCAACAAATGCCGCAGACACAATCCCAGTCAAACATCTTCATTCGTCACTAAACAAAATCAAGCATCCCATCAACGTGGTCCGATGGACCCCAGAGGGCCGCAGGTTATTAACAGCCTCGACAAGCGGCGAGTTTACGCTCTGGAATGGTACGGGGTTCAACTTTGAAACGATTATGCAGGCTCACGACTCAGCCATTCGAGCACTTGAGTACTCCCACAGCGACGACTGGCTGATATCTGGTGACCATGACGGTCTTATTAAATATTGGCAGCCCAACTTTAACAATCTTCAGAGTATAAATGCACATTCCGATCCAATTCGAGATCTGGCATTCAGCCCGAATGATTCTAAATTCGTCAGCGCCTCTGACGATTCAACGCTCAAGATATTCGACTTTGCACTGGGGCAGATGGAATCCAAGTTGGAAGGACACGGTTGGGATGCCAAAAGCGTCGATTGGCACCCCACCAAGGGATTGCTGGTGTCAGGATCAAAGGATCATTTGGTTAAGCTGTGGGATCCCAGGACCACTCGTTGCCTCACCACCCTCCACGGCCACAAGAGCACAATCACCAAGGTCATGTTTGAACGCGTTAGGGGAGCCTGCCTTGCGACATCAGCACGGGACCAAACGGCACGTGTATTTGATCTCAGAATGATGCGAGACATTTGTCTCCTCAAGGGCCACGAAAAGGACATCTCAACACTGACGTTTCACCCCGTGCATGCCAACCTTCTCACCACCGGAGGCATGGACGGCGCTCTCTTCCACTACCTCCTCGATTCACCAAATCCTCCTGCAGGTCAAGCCTTAACCGTGGCCCCCTATGACAGTATGGATCCGTCTACCACACCGGCACAGTCCGTCTGGCCGATGCACAGAATCCCATTTGCGCACGACTACGCCGTGTGGTCACTAGATTGGCATCCGCTTGGACATATCCTCGCATCTGGTTCCAACGACCGTATCACACGGTTCTGGACTCGAGCCCGCCCAGGGGATGCCGACGTTTCTCAGGACAGATACCACATTGGCGAAGCAGCTGCCGAGGCACAAGGAACCTGGGATCGTCGCGGAAACCGCCGCCAGAGACAGGAAGAAGAACAGCAAGAGATGGAAGATGAGATGGACGCGCTCGTGGACCAAGACGCCGCGAAACTCCCTGCGCCGGCTGCCCTTCCAGGTATTCCTGGTCTCCCTCTGGGAGGCGGTTCAGCACTGCCCGGTCTCACAGCCGGCCTGCCCCCTCCTCCCCCCATCCCAGGCGTTGGATCAAACGGCCCTCCACCACCGCCGTTCCCATTACCAGGACTCAACGGTGCTCCTCCACCACCTCTACCTGGTCTCGACCCCAATCATCCCCCAGACCCGGCACAACTCCTCGAAATGATGAAGAAGGCGGGCGTGCCCCTTCCACCACCCGGTGCCTTGCCTCCAGGTCTCATCCCACCGATGGGGAACATCCCCCCACCAGGAAACTTTCCCTTTCCTGTTCCGCCTCCGCCAATGCACTCGGAGGAGAGTGATACGAGACGACGTGCGCCGTTACCGAGTCAGGAGGAGAGTTTACGCCAGGAGCAGCGACAGGGCAAGTACACTAGGGCACGATAGACTCGCGGACTAGATTTGCTTAACCATTCACTGGCCGCAAATTTGAGCAGCGGATGAAAAGGCATGTACCGGTACCTGACATGGCAAAAGTTTTGATGAGAAGTATTGCGCATGGTTAAGAGGCTGTATTCTATGGATCTGCATGTGTAGAGATTTGCCGGGTTTCTCGATACCCTTGGCGTTGGGACAATATATCGTTGCATTTTACTCGAACCGTGATGGCGTTGAGTGCGGTACAGATGACATGGCGTCAAATCACACAAGTTTCAAATAGAAGGATGGACAGTGATGAGGAATCGACGGCTTGATATCTATCTACCAAATGATGATGTACATGATTAAAAATGCCCGCCGCAAAACGGCAAGGTCGCGCTCAAATGTATGGGAACTGACAAAATGCCACCCTCCCCCTCTCTCTTCCAATGCAAAAAAAGTTATCGCTAGGGTGGATACCTAGGGTACCCGATGCAGTGACAGGAAAAGAAAAATTATGCATGTATGCAAGCAAGATGAACCGCGCCTTATATAGAACACCCCTCACCCCCTTTATACATCCCTCCTCTTGCAGATAAATTATCTTGGTGACACCTCTGATAGCATAAACCCTGTAAAAGAGACAGTAGGCACAAGGGCGCCAAAAGAAGGGGGAAAAAAGATTCATAAAAATCATGACGAAGGAGCAGGAGAAATAGCACGCTGGCCGCCCTTCCCAAACGCCTTCTGCCTGTCGGCGTAATCCCTAATCACCAAAGCACAGGTGGTTTCGGCGCACAGCCTCTTGCGCCGCGTAACAGGCAGCTTGTTGGCAAACTCGAGGCCGGAGGCGCGCTCGACGGCCTCGATGGGGACCTCAAAGTCGGTGATGGGCTTCTCGTTGGGGATGGCGGCGTTGGGCAGGACAAAGGCGCCAATGGCGACGTTTCCGCCGGTCTTGCCGTCCTCGGCGAAGATGACCTTGTAAAAGTGCGTGGGGACGGCGACGGAGGGCGGCGTCCCAATCATCTCGTAGCGGACGTACCACTTGCCGTCGACGGGGTCCTTGCGAGGCAGGTACAGCGGGCCGGTGACGATGCGGACGCTGGGGTAGCGGCCGGTGAGGCGGCGGCAAAAGTCCTCAAAGTGCGCCCAGTAGTCGCGGTTGAAGCCGTCGCCGACCTGGGGGCTGATGTTTGTCAGGTAGAAGGTGTCGTCCATGGCCCTCTGGGACCACTTTGCGTCGGCGGCGGGCACCTGGTGGCCGCGGTCGTAGCCGCTGCGGAAGTAGTCCTTGAGGAGGGCGCGGAACTGCACGGGCACCGCCGTGTCCTCGAGGAAGACGCTGTGCTTGCGGTCGCCGTCGCGGCTGGTGAGGGAGTCGGGCGTGATGTGCTCGGCGACCCAATGCGGGTTGCGGGTTCGCCGGTCGTAGCTTGATATCAGGGCCGCACGGCTGGCAATATCTGAGACGGGGCCAGGGAAGCCGTACTCGAAGAGGCCGGCTGGGTTGACCGGAGCCCCCGACACGGGCGGGGAGGTAGAGTAGACGTGCTGGGAGGGGATGGCGAGGGCTGTGGTGGAGGCAGCGTTGTTTGGTCTGGCGGTTGGAGGTGTCGCGATTGGAAGCTCGGGTTTCTTGTTCTCGGAAGACGGGCGGAGAGCAAAAGCGGCGGCCGTAAGAGCAGCACCGCCTCCAGCTCCGAGAGCAGCGAACATTGCGAGAGTTGATTTGGACATTCTGGCGGCGTACGAGGCTTGGCGTGGCATTTATATAATTGACGGGCGGAGTCACGTCGAGGACGCAGGAAAATTCAACAGATGAAAGAGTCTGCTGAACTCGAGGTGATCAGGCTGAACAGCAGAGGAATGGACCGATGCAAAGGCGACGAGTCATGCGAGAAGTGACGAGAGCGGAGCGCGGTTGAGAGAACTTGAGACGGAAAGGCAGCTCACAAGGAAACTAGTGCAGAGGCATGTGGCTCGAGGCCCGTAGTGTTTGTGCCTGGGGGATCTATGAATGTTGTCGCGATGGAGACTAGGACGAGGAACGTTGACGATGGTGTCTTTTTTTTTTTTCCTTCCTACCACTCGTCGGCAACTAAGTGCACTTGTGGCTAGCCACTTAAAGGTCGGCACATGCAAGTAATTCCCTTGGCGGGAAGCTTGCCGGGACTTTACCGCAAGGGCCTCATGCGTGGGTCAGGGGACCGCCAGGGTCTGCAGGGCACCAGTATCCGGAGCCAGCTGGGCCAGTCAGAAGGCGCCGCGGGGGGGAGGGAAGGTGACGAGTGGCTGACGGGTATTGATCACTTTTTCGACAGCGATGCGCGAACCAACGAAACAAGAGCCGCATCAGCGCACGTTCTTCACGCCGCCCGAGCTTTCATCTACTAGCAACTCAAGAATCACACGAAATACTCTTCTTTGCTTGTCCGTCCGTTCATCGTTACACAAACAAGAGCCCCAGCATCACGGCTCGGTCACGGGATGCATTTTACTCCAGAGTTGGCGTCGTTCAGTTCATCGGACCATTCGGTTCATATGAGTGCGGCGCCGCCAGCTGCATCACCTGCGGCGACCAGTGAAGCAGCTCATCCTCCGACGGTGTCCTGTCCGAGTTTTGCTGGATGATGCCCTGAGGCAAGGGTATTCACTTGCTGTTCACGGAGTGACAGGTGCATGTCGTCTCGTGATTTTTTTTTCTCACTCACACAAGACAATTCCATTGTGGTTTGACACCATGTCTTCACGTGCTCTGAAATTGTCATTCTTTTGACTACTTTACAGGTTCGTGTAAAGTTACATGAAGCTAAATACAATATTTCGAGTCGTTCCCGAGACCTGGTGTTTCCTCCCGCGAGCGCTGGGGCCGCTTCCTGCCCACAGCTGATTACAGCCCTACGGCACAAGAAACGCCACTCTTCTCTTTTCTGTTTCACAGCATTTCCCAAGCAGTGAGAATTTCCTTACGCCATCACGGCCGCGACCAAGACGGCGCCGACGAGGGACGCAGCCCCCAACACGGCGTTGGTACGACCGGCACCGGCAGTGGCAGTTGTGGAGGTGGCGCTGGCAGCGCTGCCGGAAGCTGTGCCCGAGGGAGCCTTGGTCGTGGCCTTGGTCGAGACGGCAGTAGGAGGGTACGTGGGTGAAGAAACGCCCGACGGGCAGTGCCAGTGGTCGCCGTGAGGCGTACACTCCTTGCCGTCGCCGTCGCCGTGGTCATGGTCATCATGGTCGTGCCCACCGGTCGAACTGGCCGAGGCACTGCTTTGGGTCTGAGCAGGAGATGTCGTCGGCTTGGGGACTCCAGATGGACAGTGCCAGTGGTCTCCGTGAGGTGTGCACGTCCCTGTTGCTGACTGCGTGCTGACAACCACGGCCGTCGATGTGGGCTCGCAGTGCCCTTGAGGGTTTGCCATTAGCATGCAGTCCGAACTCATCAAGAGATGGACACCACCCCGTCCGAAAGAGTCTCTCTGTACTAGACTAGCTGAAGAGTCGACTTACAGTGATCACCGTGAGGGTGGCAGATGGAACCAGTAGGTGAAGGCGGCAAAGTCTGAGATGCCGAAGGCTGGGACTCGGTGGTAGCCTGGGCTACGGCCTGGCCAATAAGGCACAGTGAGATCAACGCCTTGAGCTGCATGTTGGCCGAGTGTGCAAAAGGTCCCAGTTACGGCAATGTAAGGAAGAAGGGCAGTCTCTCAAGAAGGGCCAGCAATGCAAAGGGCTACATAATATATACATATAGATGTGTGTGTGTGTCTGCTCTTGGCCGCCAATCAACAGCTCCTCCTCACGGGCCAGCAACAGCCCCCAATAGGCAAAATGGAATGCAAGGATACAACCCGTCACATTATTGGCAATCTAGTTGGTCCTGTTGATCAGTTTATCCCGGCTAGTCGACCGAATGCCAAGACATGGCTGAGAACCTCTTTGGGTTACAGACGTCAACTAGTCGGCCTATGAAGCTGTCCTTGCTGCGGTGGTTCGTATGCCGTCGTCAATTTTTCCACCTCGTGTTGTGCGACCAACCCTCGTTGAACTATTCTCATCTTTCTTTTCTTACAGAGTCTTGCCTACTCGTGGCGTGGCCACCAAGAACAAAAATCCCCCCCCGGCCCTCGAAGCCTGCTCTACATAAAAAGATACCTGTTTCAAGCAGTGTTGGGAAGATGACGAGCTGTCAGCCCAGATTAAACTCGATCTGGTCTGCAGAAGCTCCACAGTCTGATTTGGGATGCATGAGAAAAACCCCGACAGTCAAGAGACAGGCCAAGCCGTGATGTTCTGTTTTTCCCTCGTGGCAAGGTTACAAAACGCATTCAAGCTTATTCCTATCCGAAACACGACTCCCATGTCCCCCTTGCTTGGAGATTATTCCGTCTGATGCCAGGTAGATTGCGGCGGGCGTACAATACGAAGAAAGATTAAGCATGTTTACGTTTAAATTAAGCTTACATACCTTGATGGACAGGTTGCGGTTTTATTCGCGCGGATGGAGAAGACGTTGGTTTTCAGCTTGAGTGGTTTGTGTGACGGGCGAGAACCTTGATGTCTTCAGCTGATGGGTCAAGGGTTCCGCCAAGGCTTGACCCTGGATGCGTTGTTGGACGGAATTGGCTTGGGCCGCATGAACAGGATTATGTGAATTGGTATTGGAACAATGCAGCATGCCACGACGGGATTTTGGGGATTGCATGGACATGTATGTGGGATATAACAACCTAGGTACGTATCGCCACTTGCATCAATATGTCGGTTGCAACGTCCCATCCAACGTAATACGGAGTACATTGCCATGTATCTATCTCTGTGGCGGAATGAGGAGCATGTGTTGCTGTGTCATGGCTCCTATTAAAAAGCCAGGTCATCCATGGCAGTCTAGCTCACCGATTGCTACACCGTCGCCTCCGTCGTTTTGGCATCACGGGCTACTATAAATGCTTGCAATGGTAGCAAAACCAACATCCGGAAACCTCGACCCAGGGTGGTTGGCGACTTTCATTTCCACCTATACTCACAACGCCGGTTGTTGACCCTGCACACGCCAACTCTGCGTCGTCCATGATGCTGTACAGAAGCGCCAACGGCGTGCCTAAGTAGTTCGTCATTGATCAAGTTAGGATTAGAAGTCGAATTCACCCCCAAGGCATACGATCCCCTCGCATCTGTCAAACTGCGGCCGATGGTTTATGGTGACAGTCGAAGGTACGTGCTTGGTCGATGAACATGGTAGTTACGAGTACGTTGTGATTGCGAATTCCCATCTCACAAGAATCGTGTGTATATGCCTCACATACTCGGAGGGTAGCAAACGCGCACACATGCTCTACCCCAAATTTCATGGTACTTGGGCACAAGGACATCAACGACTGCGACCTCGCCCATATCTGCGCACGTAGCGGTGGTTGCATTTAGTCGAGTCATCAACTCACCTGCCTTTCTCTAGATCAGTGCCTCCCTATGCCTTCCTAAGCCATGGCACAAATTCAAAGTTCTGGTTTCGGAGTGAGGAGGACCGGTAGGATATAGTCTCTGAAAATGTGATTGAAAAGTAAGTCGCGGCTTATGCTCGAAACCAGCAAGCCCCATAGTTGGCTTTGATTCATCTGTCAGCCCTCAACCGGCCAAACTGAAGCTACAAAGACAGGAAGCGAGTGGCCGAAAGAGCCCGGAAAATGGTTGTTGAGGCCAGTGCCAAAGGCCTTCCGCCACGGCGCTCTTCAACAACGCACCAATCGTTCCCGGTTGTTTTCGAGGTTTGGTTGAGGAGCCAGCGAGAACATGTGAAGATTTTGCAAGTCAAATCGAAAGCATCATCAGAGGCCCTTGATGAATCTGCTTGGGACTTGGCCGCCTCAACCTAGTTGTTGGACATGTGCGTCCTCTCAAAGCAAAGTCAGCAGCGGCACATCACAGGTTGCTCGTCTCGAATGAGGCTTATGATGTGTCACGAGATGCTGCTTTTCTGTGTGAACTATTGTCAGGTCATGAAAGGCGCAGAATTGTCTTCCTCGAGATTTATTGCCTCCCCAAGTCGCAGGCGGTGTCTTGAGTATGTAAAAAGTCGAGACGATGCTCCCTTGTCGCACACTCTCAGAGACAAAAGGGCGCTCGGCTTGACACAACGCTGTGCGCATTATCTAATTTCCGCTCGTTCCGTTGCCCGATGCCCAAATACAGCTAGTTCGCTGTTATCCTGTGCGACTTCCCATGATGCCCCATCTGCAAGGGCCCCCGGATCCAATCAACCTTGGGTGGTGGTTTTGTCGTTTTTCGATCGTGGTATCTACGTGGAGAATGTGCCCATCGCAGCCCAATGGAGTATCTTGCATTACGCAGTCACGTGTAATAGTTATAAGCCAGAAGGACCAGTGCTGCGACTGTACAAGGCAGACGGTAACTTATCCAGCAGGTAGTTATTCTGACCCTGTTCAGGCTCCCGCTAATATGGCGTAGAGACTTGTAGGTAGTATTGTCTTGCACTAAAGTAAGTAGCGTATACATACTATTCTGAACCTGGTGACGGGGGAAATGCCTGTTGGTACATGGGTCATCTGTTATTGCTGCAGACCCTAGGTAGGCTGGCAAAGGATGCGTGTCGGCCATCTTGCATCTGGATGCATGGCCGCCACATGTATGCGACAACTGACGGCCGCAAGGGAAAAAAAAAATAGATATATAACTACTCCGTGCCTAGCTATTCGTATACCTGATAAGACACAGAATATTGTGTTTATACTTCGTACAGAGGCCGAAAATTTAAGGGTACATTCTGTCGGTGAACAGCCAACCAGCCAAGAAATCCCGTGTCACATTGGCAGTGACGCTGATCGGTGAGAACCTTTATGGCCAATGCTCAACATGTGCCTCCGTCCTTGTGGACTCGAGTATGATGGACACCTTGTTGCCGCCCACTCGAGCAGATCCTTTCGCCTTTCGTTTGTCTTTGTACGGAGTACCGGTCTTGTGCTGACAAAGGATGAGACGAATTCGCGTCTGAGACCAAAACGCCTGGCATCATCAGTCGGCAACGTCGCCTTCTCTTTGTCATTCCATCCATCTGCTCAGTATCTCTGTATTGTCTTCCTTTCCTCTTCCCTTTGAAAGCCCTTTCCCTTTCCCTTCCCGTCCCTTCCTCGCCTTGGCATCCTGCGATCGATCTGAGGTCTCGAGTGCTACTAAAGGGAGGTCCTGCCTACTTCGTCAATAGCGCCATCAAGAAATCCCGCCATCTTTGTGAAATCCCGCTGGGCCCTCCAACTTCCCCGGTCTTTCAGCTTAAATCCCACTTGCCCCCCTGATTTGGCCCACAATCCCTGTTGTCCCGTTCTATTTTTTCCCTCGTCTCATAATAACTATATTTTGCCGTCTCTTGAGAGCTTGACCTGGCTGTGCTTCCATACGCACCAACTACGCCGTCGTCGTTTTCGACTCCATACGTCAGCGACGCCACAAAAGCTCTGCTCTACTGGATCAAGCTATCAACGTTGCCAAGCGCAAAAACTTTTGACTTTGGCCCAACTTTAAGCCTATCTAGACCTCTAAAGCGATACGTTTCTGCTTCATCCTTCGCCTGCACCGATTCCCTTCAGATGGCTGCGTGAGCAAGAGCTGCCATATCCCTGGAGACCGAAGCTTGGAGCCGTCGCTAGCCATGGAGCTGGCTGCTCGAGACCGAAGCTTGGAGCCGTCGCTAGCCATGGAGCTGGCTGCTCGAGGACTTGACAATGACGCCCGAGGGTGGATTATGTGCGTGGTCAGTGGCATAGGTACGTCGAGAAATTGCATCATGGCATCATGACATCCGCCATGTGCTCGAGACGAATGCTCACCTTGCCGCACAGCATGCATCTTCGGCGCCTCCATCGTGTGCGTCGACTTCATCGTCCGCCTGTTCCCGGGAAAGCGCAGCTTTCGCATCCAGGAGAGCAACATTTTCCTGGCGTGCTCGCTTTCCCTAAGCTTTGGAGTCATGGTACGATTCATCACCGCCGCTCCCGATTACATGAGCATATGTCAGCTAACTCGTCCAGATGTTCTCCGCACTGTACAGCATGCTGCCCGAATCAAAGGACTATCTGAGGAAGGACGCCTGGGCTGATCAACCTGCCGGCTTTGTTGTCATGGGATGCTTCATTGGAGGCTTCTTTGGTATCCAAGCCGTGTCACGCCTCCTACACAGGCACATGCCGTCGCATGTTGTCGATTGCGACCACACCCACGATCACACAACCCCACAAGACAGCTTCTCGTGTAACCACAGTCGCAGACAGTCCAGAGTCAGCCGAGCACGAAGACGGCTCTCCCGTCCCCGGTCCTCTCATAGCCATGCGAAGTTGGACGCCGGTCACGCCGCGGAGAACGGAGTGGCGCTCGCAGGCGAGACCACACCTCTATTGCCGTCGTCCATCGAAACCGACGAGAATGGCTATCGAAAACCACTAAAGCGACACGCATCTACTCCAGCTGATGAAATGTCGCAACGCCCAACTAGCCCATTATTGGCCTCGAGAGGCCATGCGACAACTACTGACTTGGAAGCGGCAGCTCGTCGGCCGTCCATGTACGAGGTACAGAAGCGCGTCATGTCCTTTGTCAGAGACACCAAGTGCAACTGTGAAGAGGAGGGGTCATGCTATGGTTACACGGATCCATGTGGACAAGAATGTTTCAAACACCTCTCTACACGCTCGCAAAGCGGCCCTAAACATGCTGCCACACTTCGAACTACCACCGGACCCTTCTATCTGCACTCCGGCTCTGTCTTTCATGCCGGTCATGGTCACGATGATCCCGACGCATCCATAAGCCCTCTGTTCCGCATAAGCAGAGCTACCTCTCGCGAACCTCTTTTCTACCCAACAGATGAAGAATCCCCGGACCAGGAGGAGCATGATTCATCCTGCTCCTCCATCGAAGAAGGAGATCTCGAAACCAGCCAACATCACCACCATGTTCCCACAAATGCCTTCCTTTCCATTGGTCTTCAAACATCCATTGCGATAGCTCTTCACAAGTTCCCCGAAGGCTTCATCACATACGCAACCAACCACGCCAATCCCACACTCGGCTTCAACGTCTTCATGGCCCTCTTTGTACACAACATCTCGGAAGGATTTGCCATGTGCTTGCCCTTATACATGGCTCTCGGATCCCGCTGGCGCGCTTTAGCATGGTCCGCCGTCCTGGGCGGCCTGTCCCAGCCCATGGGGGCCGGCGCAGCAGCATTATGGTTCAAACTGGCGCAAAGGTCGAACATCGCCCCGAATGCATTGGTATATGCCTGCTTATTTGCCATTACAAGTGGAATTATGGTGAGCGTAGCGTTACAGTTATTTGTAGAGGGATTAAGCTTAAATCACAATCGAAATTTGTGCATCTTTTTCGGGTTCTTAGGCATGGCCATTCTGGGGTTGAGTAATGCGTTATTTGCGGAACATTGAGGACCAGCCACTTGGCGTGACTGACAAACGAGATTCATGGCAGTGAATGGATTATGAGTATGATTGGCATAGAGGAGTTTTGGTATAATCACAAAGGAGGCGGTATTGTGGCCTCTGGTCTGGGCTGTTACCACTTCTTTTTTTCAGTAGAGTATTTTGTTAGCCGAGTATGATAGAATGTCAAATCTTATGGTGTATGGTTCAAGGTATTGCGTGCTAAATGTAGGCGAAGTGCACTTACTGTCACACAGCTTATATATGGTATTCCATTTTTCCCAATGTGTCTATGTATCATTATTTCATTATCATGTATCTTTTCGCGAGCCAACGCCATATCTTTTTCATGATACGACAAACAAATACATCCCGGGTGGCCCTATAGGGGTATCAGCAACCAGTTACTTTTCGCCTTGAAAGCAAGACACCATGTACAACATCAGCTAGACAAGAGTCTATAGTCTAGCAAGATTAGGATCAATATGTTCTACGTGCGGTGGTGAGTCCCGCGCCAATAGCATAATGTTGGCCTCATCCTCAAGCCACTCGTCCTTTGAGGGGCCGTAGTCCATCTGGGCGGCAAAAATTTCGTCTTGCGCCGTGTCCTCGGGCCATGAGGCGTGGAATTCCCTCCCCAGGGATAATTCATTGTCCCCGTCATCCGGGTGCAGGAAGGGAGCAGAGTCATTTGGCGGGTCGGGCTGCTGGTGGCCATGAGACAGGTGGACTTGGAGGTCGTGGTAGCGTTTGAACCCCTCGTTGCAGTCGGGGCAAAAGACAGTGTGCTTGGCTTGGTTTGCGAGGCCGGAGATCTCGTCGATGAAGGCGGTCGGACTCCCGCTGGGGCTGCCCGGCTTGGGCAACTTTGGGCGATCGTGGCCGAGGTGGATGAAGCGGATGTGGTCGTCGAGGCGGACCTTGGTGCTAAACTTGGCGCCGCAGCCTTGATCGTCGGTCCAGGCCGCGAACTCTGGCCCCGAAGGCGTCACGTCGCCGCATATGAAGCGGAAGCCCTCGTGGGCTGAGCGGATGTGGACCTTGAGATTGGACTTTTTGGTGAACTTCTTGCTGCAGCCTTCGTAGGTGCAGGCGTGCGTTTGGCGGTCCTTGACTGTCTTTCCGGAGTGGTACATGTCTACGTGCTGGTCGAGCTCCCATCGTGATGAGGGCTTGAAGTCACAAAAGAGACAGTTTTGGTGTTCTTTCTTCAGATGGGCGTGGAGGAGCAGTTCAGTCGTGAATCCCACGCGGGTTTGTGTGCCGTCTTCTGCTGTTGTCAGGCCGCACTCTCCACACCAGTATTTGATTTCGCCGTGTATTTTCTCTCGGTGGCGTTTCAATGCCGGCTTGGAGTCGAATGACTCTGTGCAGTCTTGCTCGGGGCAGGCGTATGCCCGGATGTGTAGGTGTTCTTTGCGCACATGCTTGGTGAGAGTTTCTCTTTTACGGAAGCTCTGTCCACAGTCTTTGCAGCGGAATCGCTCAGCGCCTTCGTGAACGGCCTGGTGGCGCTTCAATCTGGTGCCTGTGACAAAGCTTTTGCCGCAGCCGGGGACTTGACAGGCGTACTTGCGTTCGTTTGTGTGTGCTGCTTTAATGTGCTGCTTCAGGTGTTTATCCTCTATGTAGTCCTTATCACAGTCGTCATAGGGGCACTTGAATGGACGGGAATTGGTGTGTGAGTTGAGGTGGTCTCGGAGTCTGGCTGGGCGGTTGAATGCCTTGGTACAACCTGGCCATGTGCAGGCTAGAGTTTTGAGGTCTGACGGGAACTTGGCTCTTGGCGTAGTTGCTACGGTTGCGGGTGACTCGGCGTCCGCCATTGAACTTGGTGACTCGGACGGTGTAAAGTCGTCATCACCATCGTCGTCTTTTTTTATTGTTAGAATTCGTGCGTGCGTTTGCATGGAGGGTCAGGGATGCATTTACTCACACTGAGGAGCGCGGTCTATGTGCAGCTTCTTTACTGGGGAAGCTTCAATGGCCTCGTCTGCGGGCTTTCGCTTGCTCATTATCGTGAGAAATTGCCTGAACAAGTCAATATCGGTATTGTCATATTGCAAGGTACTGTGTTGTGAAAAGCGGCAGAATGCATGCAAGTTGGATCAGGCGGTGACAAGAAATTTTGTGGTGGGTGACGACCGATAAGCCAAGTTGAGCTTCGGTCAGCCTATCAGGCCCCCACTGGTTGAGGTGAGTGTGGTCGGGGAAGCCACGGCAAAACTGGCCCCAAATCTTTCTGCAATTTTTACGAGGCTGATCTGCAGGAACAAAGAAGAACCACGACGCTACGTTTGCGACCAGTTTCTGTTTCCCGCATTCTACGCGCGCGCAAAATTCCTGGATTTTCTCATCATGTCTGACTTTGGCGATGATGATGTTGGTGCTGGCGGGTAGGTTTCGTCGCAAAATTTTATGGGCGATATTGAGGGTTGCCTAGAAGCGCAGCGAGCTAATAGCACGCGAAACAGAGACGAGCCCATGCTTGAGGAGGAGGAGGTTACCGAGTACTACGACCCCGAGGTTCTAGACGATGAGGACGGCCAGCGTGGTGAAAATGGTGACGATGCGGATAATGTTGTTGTTTCCGGAGACCCTTCGGCAGCTGCCAATGCCCTCAAGTCTGGTGAAAAGTCGTTGAAGGATAAGAAGATTCCCGAGGCGGATCGGACAACAACTCCTTACATGACCAAGTACGAAAGAGCACGTATTCTTGGCACCCGCGCTCTGCAGATTAGGTACGATGACAGTTGTGAAGGCTTGCCGGGATGCGCAGGCTAATGAGCGAGTGTAGCATGAATGCGCCAGTGTTGGTGGATCTCGAAGGCGAGACCGACCCCCTTCAGATTGCCATCAAGGAACTTCGCGAGAAGAAGATTCCCCTAATCGTAAGGCGATATCTGCCTGATGGCTAGTGAGTGCTAACTTTGGTGGAGGCTCGTGCTGGAATTGAGACTAACAGAGTGCGAATAGCTACGAAGATTGGACATGCGAGGAATTGCTGCAATAGTCTGAACACGTCGGACAAGCAAATGATTATTTTGGTCAAGGCCGAGAAAGGAACAATTGACCAAAATTTGCGTCAAACCGCTGCCATACCAGACGATCACTTCAGCATTCTCCCTAATCCGAGCCAAGCAGGCAGGTCTCTCGGGCGTCATTTATGATTCATGAGCGCGGCGTTTTGAAATTTGGTCGAATGATAACAAATAGGCACTAGATAAAAACCAAAAGAACGATTGTTTTGGTTATTGGGCTGTGCCGTCGGTTGCAGGAACGAGTCGTTAAGGAGCATGTTGATCAAGGCGGAGATATAGGGTAAGCATCTGTGGGACACGCCGTCATGGATCAGCCAACATCACACGGTGAGAAGCTAGTAAATGGAACTTTGAAAGAAAACAATGCAACATGTCGTGCCCAACGATGATGATTGCATCGTATGTGGAAAGGCCTCATATTGCAGAGGTTTGCAGGATGATATTCAATATTCTATTGGTGTTTAGTGTGAGTCTTGGTCGCGGGAATACCAGGCGTTGGCATAATCTCGAGGCTCAACAAAGCAAGAAAAATATATCATCTTGGAAAATTGGCCATAATATATATGAATACATTCCGTCAAACATCATCGCCACCAAGTCGCAAGGTCGCAAGGCAGAGCCGCAGTCACGCAAGAAATCTAAGAACACAGACAGGCACGTACCTTGTGCTGGCCCAGCCAACAGCAAAAGCATTGCTTAGTACTTGCTTTCCCACGAGCTGGCGCTCCCAATCTCCCATTGGTCAAGAGTAGAAACTCGCATTAGCAAAAAGCAAGGCGGTGCAGCAGACACGAGGTTTCCAGCAGGACGCAACATTGTACAACCTGCAGCATGCAATGTGTAACAGGGAGGGGCCTTGTCATCGGGCAGATTAGCCGACGCCGAAGTCCGAATTGGGTAACTCTGGTTGCGCTGGCGGGCAGCGGCAAGCGGCGACAATTGACGTGAAGACGGCTTACTTTGTAGAAACCAAGTCGCAGAGAATGAAACGCTGTGACATCAGCCAAGTGCCACAAGACGGGTTGGCCAGAATGACTGACTGCGTGCCACAAACACAAAGATGCCTTGGGAGATGATGAGCAACCGCCGAGAACGCGGGCGCCCTAGACCAGGGGGTTCGGGGGGGGGGTTGATGATTGTGCCGAAATCACGACGAGTTCGTGTTTAAGCCATGATCGACGTGGTCGGCCTGAGTGGATGGAGCAGCTTTGGCCCCATGGCGGAGACATGACGTCGTTGCTGGGGGCGGCACTCGGATGCCGTTCCAGGCAGCCAGGCAGCCAGGCAGGGTCCAGATGCCCACTCGCACTCAACCACTGTCCGCGTGCCGGGGGCCGTTTCCCGCTAGGACCCTCACTAGAAGCATCTTGACAGCCGTTGCATCATGCTCTGCTGATGATTCCGGCATACAACAGCCCAGGAATAGAAGTCCGGCGGCCCGGACTGCCTTTCATCTCATCGGCTCCATGAAACGAAGCTGGCTGCCAAGTGCACCGTACTCACTGCCCTTTGTGCTATTTACGAGGCTGGGCTGCCAAGTGTCTGGTGCAAGCGTGCGTCTGATGGATGGCTGCTTTGACTCAGTTGGCCACTCGACCAGACCCAAGATTTCGATTGGCAAGTCACACATCAAGGGCTCTCGGCTGCTCCTGCTCCAGCACTCCGGCCATCTGATTTCTTGAAACATAAATATTTGACAGCCGCTTTCAATTTACGCATTGCAAACTCACAGACCTACCCTCTAACCCTTCCTCGTCTGCGGCACGACATACAACAAACGCCAAGATGAAGTACTCTACTGTCGCTGCTATCGTCTCTTCGGCTGTTGCCGTTTCTGCCTCTCCCGTCGAGAAGCGTGCCATTGGAGGTGTAAGTAATTGCCCTCGCTGCCCTCCCTTCTTTCTTTGCAACTATTAGCTGCAAAACCGTTCTCGTAATGCCTCGAGACCGTCACACTTGTCTTTTTTTCTTGCTTATTCTCTAATTTACTAACACCCCTCAGGTCTTGCTTTGCACCGGCGCCAACTCCACCGGCACTTGCAAGTATTCTGTGTACGAGCTCAACAAGTGCCATCAACTCACGGAGCCATTTTACCAGAACACAAACACCTTTGCCGTCGACGGCGAAAACTTCTACTGCTTCCCCAAGCTCGTCAACTGCACTGGCATCTGTACGAGCCCTACTGGCTGCACCTTTGGAGCCGTCGACTACGACTACAAACACAAGTACAACCTGAGCGCCATTTCATGGGACAAGTACATTACCAGTTTTCAGTGCGCCATGAAGGAGGACCCGCAACCTAGTAACAATCGCTCCTCGACCAGGCGGTTTCTATCATGATTCCTGTGCACATACCGCACTGGACGCTTAATATTTGATGGGTTTGGCGGCAGCAAACCTCGCAAACATAGGGTGTTTGGCGGGGAAAGCTCGGCATCGCGTGGCATGTATGCACAACGGAGAGCACATATCGGGAATGGGGGCCAGAGGAAAACGTCTGGCGTAATGGTATTATACCCTGCCTTGTAATGGGCAGCATGTAGATTAATCAATTCGGACATGTGTACTTTGACCATTGACAGCCTGACGGTTTCTCCAGACCATTTTTGGGTAACTTGCAACTATGTGCTTACGACGACAGGGACATTGTTCGGAGAGATGTTAGCGAGATTCGGCGGGGTCGGAATGTCAACCCCTCCAAGCTCCCAAGGTGGGAGGAGGTCCTTCAAGCTAGTATATAAAACCCAATAGTCAATCTAACAACATCCATCCCGACCTGCAGCCCGTGTATCCATCTCCAAAGCACGCTCAGGCCAGAAGAAAGAAAAAAGACAAATCCAATACCATCCTGTCTCGTCACCTGCAAATCTCCCCAAAATGGCATTCACAACAAACGCCACAATCGCCTCCTTCAACGGCCGCATCCTCAAGCTCACCCACCAGTCCAGCAGCACCTCGACGCCCATGAACCTCAACCTCTTCCTGCCCAACACGGCGTCGCCGTCCAACCCGGCCCCCCTGCTCATCTACCTCTCCGGCCTGACCTGCACGCCAGACAACGTCACCGAGAAGGGCTTCCTCCACGCCCACGCCTCGCCGCTCAACCTCGCCCTCCTCTACCCAGACACGTCCCCGCGCGGCACCAACCTCCCCGGCGAGCACGACGCCTACGACTTTGGCAGCGCGGCGTCCTTCTACATCGACGCCACCAAGGACCCCTGGGCCGCCAACTACCGCATGGAGTCGTACCTCACCACCGAGCTGCCGGAGCTCCTCTTCGCCAACTTCAAGGAGCTCGACGCCCAGCGCGTCTCCATCTCGGGCCACTCCATGGGCGGCCACGGCGCCCTCACCCTCTTCCTCAAGAACCCCGGCAAGTATAAGAGCGTGAGCGCCTTTGCGCCCATCTGCAACCCCAGCCAGTGCCCGTGGGGGCACAAGGCCTTCACCGGGTACCTGGGCGACGACAAGGCCGAGTGGGCAAAGCACGATGCCACCGAGCTGGTGAAGAGCTGGAAGGGGCATCTAAACTGCCTGATTGACGTGGTGAGTTTCTTTTCCTTTTGGCCCCCTCCCCCGAATCCTTTGCCGCGGCGCTAAGAATAGGCGTAGGGCACCGGGGATAATTTCTACAACAGCGGCCAGCTGTTGCCGGAGAACTTTGTCGAGGCCGTCAAGGGCGCGGGCGTGGATGGCGTCAATGTGCGCTATCACAATGTAAGTGGTGCTACTACCTGCCCTCTGGCGTATTGATGTGCATGTGCTGAACTTGAGGGGGGACGGGCAGGCATATGATCATTCGTATTTCTTTATTTCGACGTTTGCCGAGGACCATGTTCGGCATGCTGCCAGGGCGCTGGGCTTGCTGTAAAAACGAGACAGTTTGAGGTTTTGCTCGCCGTTTCCCCGCCGGGGAGGGGGGAAGGAGGTTGGCTCCGGGTTCCGTGCTATTGGAAATGCATCTCGTACGACTGGCACATCCAAGTTGTCAAGTATTTATTATACGCGTGCTCGCAATGTCAGGCCAGGAAATCTGTGTGTCCACAAGGCGGGTTCCAAGAACGTGAGCCGAACGCTCTTATCTACACGGAGCAATATCCAAGCTTAGCTTTTTTTCCAAGTAGAAAAGGTTCTCTTCTGGCTATACTTTGTACACGGCCAAACCAGTAGAATTCGCTGGCGGACGGGAACAGCGCGTGCCCCTTTCATTTCATGCCGGCCCTACAACGGGTCGCCAGACTACCCGGCAAAGAAGCCAGCTGCTCGACTGCTACAAATATGCTCAACACCCTTAAAGCACTTGACGTTTGCAAACAAAACCATGACGTGGTCAAACCATGTATCCTGCTTCGCCAACTAGACACATTAGCTCTATGCTGACCCATCCAAAGCTGAAGCCTACATCATAGCGCCATGCCAACCCATCAAAGTCATAATCCGTGCCGTATTGGAGTCCCAATTAAGATCTACCCCGTCAATACCCGATTAAATGTAAAAATTTAAACCATGACAAACGCCGCCCATGGTGGTGATCTGGCTGTGAATCAAACGCACCCATGCAATGCCACCCAAAAACACAAATTTCCCACCCCTGCTCATCATACCACAATGTTTTCCGTTTCTTTAGCTGATTCTCCGTTCGTAGCTGGGACTGAGCCCTTCCTTCTCTAGCTTTGCACGAATTTCCAGATTGATTTCCCTGCGAATGCGCTCATAGGCCAGCTTCTCGAAGCGGCTGAGGCCCCTCCACCAGTGTTGGCCAGCTTCGTGCTCCGCAATACGACTCAGGAGCTCGCTCGTCTTTAGACGCACCTCGCGATCTTGGTGGAACAGTCCGAGGGCGACATAGAAGAGGCCAGCGTGTGACTCGGGTGCTACGTTTAGCAGAAGGCAGATCTCGTCGTAGGAATGTATACACTTTGAAAGCGTGAGGTAAATATCTTTGCTCTGGCTGGGAGATAGCCGTTGCATTCGTAGCCTGTCGTGCATGTGTGCCAAGTCAAGACCCTTTAATGGCCGAACCGTATATACCTGCGCGAGGTCCTGTTTACTGTCAATTGATGTACTTGACCATTGATTGGAATGAAAAGGTTCCTCCTACCTGGATGTAGCTGTAGTAGCTCCGGGTGTTTCGCCAGCCTTCAATTCTGGTCACATTCCCGGCGAGTTCCTTATTCTTCGCCGCGTCATCTGACCAGACATAGCCGTGGCCGCTGGCCCCCGGAAGAGTGATATCTTGGTCCTCACTGCCAATATACAAAGCGCTTGCTCCATACACGCTCTCTTCAAATTGGGCTGCGATGCGGGTGAATTTCGTGACCCAGTCTCTCCATTTCGCGCGAATGACTCTCTCGCCATGGCGCACAGCAATGCTTTTCAGAATATCTATCATGAAAGCTCCATCGCCCGTCAAGTCTTGGTTGTTATTAGCGTTGCCGCTGGCCACGGTCGCCAATGTTGGATTCTGTTGCTGAAAGTACAACAACCCCTCCGTCACGGCGGCTGACTCAATCTTGCTGCTAATCTTGATGCGGCCGCTCGGCAGATCGCAGAGAATGTCCCACCATTCGGGATGCATCTCAAAAGTAGGGTTGGTGACACCGGCAATAAAGCCAGGGACGTTTAAGAGATCGTCGATCTTGGTCAGGTCGGTATAGGGGAAAGCGTGTCGAGTGAAGCCACGCAACAGCCCACCAGACGCAAGAGCACAGGCAGCAAGGACAGCCTCGGCAACCTCACCTGAAGGCATGTTGTGACCCAAAAAGATGATTCGCTTTTGCGTCAGTAACGCATTGACAAGAACAATAATGGGATGTGTGCCGGCGCCATTGGTTGTCAGGTGGGGATGAAGGGTGAATGCCTGCGGCGACTTCGCGTGCGGTTCCGAAAAGTTTTGAATGAGCTTGATCAAGGAGAAGTCGCCCACTGTCTCTGGCATGACGGCCGTAGGAACCTTGATTGGGATCGGAATTCCTTTGTACATGACCTTGCTCTCAAATTCGTGCGTATCCCTGGGGACTGAGTACAAGGATTGGCTTCCACCCTCGACGTGAGCTTTCGTGCCGGCGCGAGATATCCCGCCCGATTTGACAGGACTTCTTGAATCCTCAATTTGTCCGTCCATTAATCCATCGGCTTTGTCCTCGGCCATTCGAATTTGAATCATTTGCTCAAACTTCTCGACAAATAGGTCACGATTCTCACTAGCTAACAAGAGGTGCCTTTCGAGGATGCTGAGCCGGGGCATAAGAGACAAATCCATGGCATTGACGGCATCGTAAAGCATGGAAAGGGTTTCAGGGACAGGGGACTTGAAATACTCTTCCAAGGCAAGTAAGAGCAGAGGCTGTGGGCCGCAAAGGTTTATTATTAGCTTGATGCGTAGCTGGAAAATAGTTGTCGCTCGACTCACCTTGTAAATGTGCAGAAAGGGATGCCTCGTACAAATAGCCATGGCTTTGACGATGGCACCACGCTTTACAGACTTGTCATGTTTGGTGTTGACAAGGTTCAATACATAAATCAGTGGCGGGCCTTCTCCGCCCTCGGGTTCGCTGTCGGTGGATTCGTCGTCTACATCTTCATCATCATCGTCCTCGTCGTCAAATTCCTCCTCATCCTCAGATATGACCCCAGCCGCTCTATTTCGCCTTCTCCTGCGTATTTGTCTCCTCCGCTCCCTTGCCTGTCTCTCGGCATCCTCTTCCTCTTGGCTGCTATCTTTGTGCAAGAAAAATATAGTCCAGTCTTGGTTTCGAGCATGTGCCTGATCAGGGAGCATAAGCTCCGCCAGCATGTTTTCATCTCCAGTAATGGCGACTGGATATTGGTGTTCCATAACAGGACCTCTGTCAATGTCAAACGAGGCCACAAGGATATACTCGACATGGTTATCGGCTGACCCACGGGGATACTGCGACCTGAGCCTTCTCGACGACCGGGCATCGGCGTTCAATCGATAAGGTGCCGACAAGGACGAGTGCTGAGATGATGGAGCTAGTGACGGCGTCTTGGACTTGGAACTCGGATCCGAGGTGCGGTCTGTCTCGGTCACAGGAAACTGGGGTGACCTGGCTTGACGAGAATTTTGGGACATCTGCGATGGCGACCGCGATGACGGAAATGAGGAGAGAGACGCTCGTCGATTGGATAGGGACCCATTCGATCGATTGTTCATGGCGTTTTGCCGGTTCATGTACGGAAGGGCGGTGGTCATCATGATGAGTGACGGACGGACGCCCTATGACAGCCAGCCAGATGGGCGAATACCACCAAAACGAGCAATGGCGATGATGATGACGATGGCAGTAGCCGTCCCGAGGCAGTCTCCGAATGACCGTCTCGTCTACCCAGATATTCGACAAACAATTAGCATGCGGAGATGGCCGGCCACGACACCCATATGCCGCCTCCCCCTCTGTCGCCAGTGGTGTGAACCAGATGTTCACGGGGACCTTGATGTTTCTACTTGTCGTTCGCTCTCGGCTCTGTGGCTATCCGAGCCGAAACGTTTCCCAGGCAAGGCCAATGAGGGGAACAGCGGGAAGCCAAGAAGGAGGATAGGACGGCAGCGGCCAGTAACAGCAAGGCTTGCCTGGCTGGAACTGCTTGAGCTGCTTGAGCTGCTTGAGCCGCTTGAGCAGCTTGACGTCTGGGTTGAACCCGCAACGCCGTCAAGGCATGCAGTGTCTGCCCGCAGAAACACCGTCAATGTCAGGGAAGCCGACGATCTTGGAGAAGCGACAGGAACAGGTTCGGTGTGACGAACAGGGGGAGAGGACCGGATGGCGACTGGTGAGGTGATGCTGGCGAGGGGGCAGTCACGGAGCAACACCGACGCATGATCCGGAGACTATTGCGACGACGTCGACGTCGAGACTCCATGCACATCAGACGGCAAAAGTCGAACTCCGGAAATGCGGACCAGGGGTCGCAGGGGTCGCAGGGGTCGCAGGGGTCGCGGGCACACGGCGCCACTTGGCCGGTGAGGAGCGTCACTGGGCCAGTTGACGGACGACGACTGGAGTCAATTGATGGTGGCCAACAAAGCACTCCTTGCATCCAATGTTCAGCGCCCAGTCGTGCGCAGTCGCTAGTCGACGACGCCGGGCCAGGGCTCGTGCGCTGAGTGGATGGGCAATTGGAGGCGGGCGGGGGCCGAGTGGCTTGAGGCGCGGGAAAGAGCAACCGGTTCGCAAAAGCCATGAGTTGACTTGGTGGTGACACGGAGAACATGCACACAGACATTGGATGTCTTTTTTTTTATATATATTTTTTTTTGGGGTGCTGCTTTACGGTTCGTGGGGGCTCTGGTGGTGTATGGCCGGCGTCTCGGGGCGGCTTTGAAACGTTCTGTGCCCGCAACAATCAACATTGAGTCAATTGAGGTTCTGCAGTGTTTGTCTGTGACCGCTCTTTGTGCGGAGCGCAGGCTTGGATAAGATATTGACCAAGTGCATATACGTACAAGGGAGTACTAGCGGGAGCGGAGTACAATACGGAGTGCCAGACTTGTGCCAAAGCGGCACCTGATGCTGGGCTCATGCAACGGGCCAGGCAGAGCGCCGCGGTGCCGACTTTCACCCTCGGCGTTCAAATGTTGTCTACCGGCACCTTCGTATCAGAGTATATTGTAATTCACTGTCGCATGTCCGGTCGGGTCTGTGTCTTATGTCAGTTTGAGGGTTCGAGGCTTGAATGTGCCCCTGGCACCGGCCCCTGCAAAGAGGGGATGGACAAGAAGGTTGACCATGCGCTGCCATTGGGTGCCCTTCCGCCAGGGACCTTTTCAGGGACCAGTTCTGAACCGTTGGTGGGCGGAACCCCACCTTGACACCAGCATGATCTGACGAGCCTCCAAGTAATAGTAATCAAGATCAAGGGCTAAAACATCACAGAAAGTAAATCTGTATGCAAGCAGCAGACAATACCAGCGGGGAAATGCAAAGCCCACGCGCTTCTTGCAGCCGGGTCACATGGCACATGGCGCACGGCAAGGATGACAAGTTCTGTTCTGTTTGCGCTCGTTTTCCATCGGATACTCGGAGTGGCTTCATAAACCCCGAAATGGTGTATGAACGGGAAGCTATTCTCGCTCCCCAAAAGTCGGCTGACTAAATCCCACCATAGACGTCCTTTTTCTGTAAATACAGGTTGCCGACTAGCCTCAGGACCCAAGCAGACTGAGTTACTCTGTCCGGTGCCTTCATTGGCCATGTACGCCTGTGACTAGTGACAGCATCGCGAGGCTATCTGCGCCACATGTGACAGCCACACGTGCCCCGCTGGACCTGCAAGGCTGCCGTTGTTATGGCTATGGATTGTTTACTCCGTACATTAATTACATTGGAAACGCAGACCACCAGCTGCCGGCGAATCGCCTCGTTTCGCTTGTTTCGCTTAGGCATTTTGATTCCCCGTCATTCTCGCCAATACACGGAACCACCCCCACGAGGAACCAAAGCTTGCAAAACTAGAGCTCCAAGTTATTTCCTTCTTTCCTACCGTTCATCGACTCCATCTCAACGTCCACCGTTTCTTGAAACCTTGATCTCCACATAGACCAGCACGTTCCTTGGCCAACCAACATCCTATCCCGGACAAAATCGCCGCAGTCAGCATGGTAAGAGCTACGCATGAAGCCGTTGAGGCGCCCCCAATATACTGCCTTCTAACACCCTTCTCATCATCGCCAGTCTGTGTCAACATCGTACAAGCCGTCTCCGTTGGGGTACGGCTCACCTCCATCACGCAACTCACCCTTCCGCCGGCCAGAATCTCCAGCATCACCATCGCCGTTACGACACACAACACCCACCAGTTCTCCAACTAAGACTGCTTCACTCGCTACGCCATCTCGTTTTGCACAGCCGACTACGCCTACAACTCCGGAGAATAGTTGGACGCCGCGTGCACAATCGTCGGACACAATGACCGCTGCATCACCACATAGGCTATCTCAGCAGACGAGCGCGTCTGTATCACAGCCCCTTGGAGGCGGAAACGCATTGTCACAGCTACAACCAGCCCAGGTCAGAACGCTGAGGGACGGATTCCAGATTTTAGATCGAGATTGTGATGGCATAGTGAATCGCGAAGACGTCGCTGACATGTTGAGCCAGTTGGGTGCGTTGCGACGATGATGGGTTCGGGGATGTCAAGTTGAGCTAACCAGGCTGGTGGTGTAGGTCTTCCTAATAGCGCGTCTGATGTTTCGCAATTTTTTCCTCCATCAAAATCACAGACCATTGCATTGGCGGCATTTTTGAACTCGTTGGCAGAAACGTTATGTCAACTGTCGCCCAGCGCCGAGCTGCTTTCGGCATTCTCTGCTTTTGATGACGATGACAGTGGCCAGGTAGACTGGGCCGAGCTCAGAGACGCGCTGCTCAACACGGCGCCAGAGCCTGGCGAGCGACCTCTGGCTGCTGCTGAGGTTGAACGAGTCGTCAATGGCTTTACCGGCCGACGAGCCTTCAATCGCAACATCAATGCGCAGTTGGGTGCCAAGAAGGGTGAGGTGTTCAAGTATAACGAGTTTGTCAATTCCATCATGGGATCTAATGGGGCGTCGGAAGCATCGTCGCAAGATAACTCGGAGGAGCAATGATGTCAGGGGGGTGTGTGAAAGTCAAGAGGCAACAATCTGCGAGAGAGGTGTTGATTGGTTTGATTTGCGCGATTTGCGCTCGTGCGTTGGGGTAAGCGATTACACAAGACTACTCCGTACGGAGTAGATGTATTTATGATAAGCATACGGAGTACACAATGTCGTGACTTTGCATCAAGATGTGTCGTTGGACACGCAGTCTTGGCAACTTTATTGATGTTTGGTGAAATGAGTGGGATGCTTCAGTCCCCGTTACGTTGCTCGCTGAAATGAATGAACAGCCCGTTTGATGAGCGAGGGTATTGACGAAATTAAGGACAAGGATTGGATCAGGGCCTGGAGCACTCCGGTGGACAGAGGCAAAGATGGGAGCTAGTAAAAGGCGTGGCGGACTAGTTACCTCCCGCATTGTTTGGGAAGGCACAACCGGAGAGTGGTGTATTGGTGCAACCTGCGCGGCATAAAATTACAGGTCGAGAGACTTGGGGTTGGAAAGGAAATTAGACAAGCCCTCTCGTCCGTAATCGGTCGTCTGTACAGCTTGGAAATGCCATCCAACGAATGCTACAAATTTCTTAGTTTATGTCGGGGGATTTGAGAGAGAAAAAAGGAGACAGGCTGCGAGCAGTTGCCTAGCATTCACCGTACAGAGGACGAAGGAAGCAAGTTAGTCGGTGCTTGTTGGCAGTGCGGTGTTCTGGTACGTTCAATGTTGCGTGCGGCTATTACCAAGCTCCCGCTGTCACAGTCTGCGCAGGTGCGAGTCGGGGCCGGCTGCAAGGCTGATCCGCCCCTCCATGTTCTAAAGTTTTCTCCAGCCCACGTCACTAAGGAACTTTGCCGCGCCGGCCGGGCCCAATCTGACCAATCTGACCAACTCCTAGGTCACGGCCCCACTGAACCTTCTAGAAACGTTGCTGGCTAAGTGCAAAACCCCGTTAAGCAACTGCAGACTCGGCTCTGGACCCCCTGTAGGTCGCATGCACAAGTGAGGACCAGCTCGACGCCAAGGACCACTGTGTTCCACCAGGTCGGTGTCACATCACCGTGATAGGATGGCGCTTGCTTGGGCAGCTGGGAGACGGGCAGGACGGGATGCAAGCAGAGTGGTTGCTGATACAACAATGCGGGTGACTGGCTGAGGCGTCATTCTACAGTGCCATCATTGGCAAGCGGAAGAGGGAAACAAAAACGCAAAGGCTGGGGGAGGACCCGGAAAAGGACGGCCGACTCAGCAGGATGCAGCACCGTGAGGCGACAGCAAGGCAGACCAACAGATGCTGAGTTGCGCAGTGGTCGACGGTACTCCTCGGTGGCCCCCCCACCGTAGTCCTCTGTTGTACTCGGTACGTAGTACTAATTGTGTTTCGCGGCCAAAGAAAAAAAAAGGCGTTGCCCCTGTCTTGCGGGGGTTGGCTGATACCCCTGACCAGACTTCACGATAGTATTGGCATTTCGAGGACAGTGGTTGTCGATGCGAATAACCAAAGCCCTCGAGTATGCGAGACATTCAAATGCTCCCGGCGCTCCGGGGCTCATTAATTACTAGGTCATCTTGTATCTTGCGGAGCATCGAAACGGGAAAGGATAACACGTAGCCATGTCCACCAGAGCAGTGAATCGTTGCTCTCACAAATTTTCGATTCAACAGCCCAAGTGAGGTGACGGAGCTCATGCTGCCACCCCTTGTCCGTCAGCCTCCATTTGCCTCAATCAATCCAGTCTCTCTCTGGTCTCTCTCCAGTCTGCAGCTCTGCCTCGCCTCCATCCTCCATCCAGTTGCCAGGTCACAGGTTGGTTGCGGCCCAGTCAACTCCGTCAAACGTGGCCCATCACTTCTGAGCGTTCGATAAATCGTGGGCTGGGATTTTCTCGTCTCTTTTACCTTTGCCGTCTCTTTTGCTCCTTTGCGCCTGCTTTGTTCTTGCTAGCCTTGCGCCTTGCGACGTCAGTTCTGGTCAGGGCTTTTTTTTTCCTTTTCTCTGCCAAGTTTTCTTTCTGCTTCTTTTGCTCTCTTCGCATCCTTGAGCTCCAGTTCTCCGTCGACAAGAAAAAAAAATCCTGCCCCAACCACGACCTCCGTTTTTGCACCGAACTATCTTCGATCGGCCATCTCTCAGAAACCATAGCTTACTGGATCTGCTCGGGACGGGCCTACCGCCTCCTGAACCACCGCGCCACTGTGCTGACTGTTTCTCGTCCTGCTGAGCTGCCTACGTACTTTTTTGACTTGGGCCCCTTTAGGCTCTTGGTGCTCGGTTACAGTGCCACCCACCCCCCATCCGAGTCCCTTATCCGGTATATCCTTGTGTCGAGGTTTCGGGACCGCCCTGCTCCATCAGGTTTGGCCGTCCCGCCCTAATACCGCAGAGCCCGTTTTGGAGCTGGCTAGAAGATGAAGTTCTTTGGCGGCAGCAAAAAGCAATCGTCCACCTCGACCTCGTCGTCAAGGAAGCATACGCCTAGTTCTAGCGTTGACGACCGCGACTTTTTGCAGCACCAGACGCTCCCACACTCGGAGCCTGCGTCGCCCACAAAGAGCTCCTCTAACAATAAGTCGCCGTCCAAAAGAAGCTCACGGCCCTTGTCGTACCGGGAACCCAAGGACCCTGCTGCTGAAAAGTCGTCGTCGTCTTCCTCTGCACCCCGCCAGGCGAGGCTTTCTCGACACTCTACAGAGCCGTTGGCTACTTCGTCCTCGCGGCGCAGCAAATTTGACCCCGACACGCATCCTCTGAATTTACCACCTGAGGAGCGGCGTCGCTTGTCCAAGCTGTCCAATTCCACCATGAGCGATCACATGGACATTGATCGGGAGCCCGTCAACGGCGCCTCGTCGCCTGCCTCGCAGCCCCAGAGTAACCCTTCTGCCCAGGCGAACTTCTCGGTTCCTATTCCAAATGGAAACCATCACAATGATGCTCCTGCCCCGCCACCACACAGATCTAACCCTTCCAGTCCGGTACCGACGGCTCTAGACGACGCCGAAGCCTACAAGGCTGCGGGTAACAGGTTTTTCAAGGACAAGAATTACACAAAGGCTATTGAACAATACTCCAAAGGTATGACCATGCTTGACGGCTCGATGTCTGCGCCAGGCTCATCTATCCTTCGTACAAAAATTTTCCTGACTTGTTTTCTATTCACTAGCTGTCGATCTGTTCCCTGACTCACCAACTTACCTGAGCAACCGCGCCGCCGCTCGCATGTCTAATGGCCAGTATGCGGCTGCCCTGGAAGACTGTAGTCGCGCTGCCGACCTCGACCCCCAAAACTCCAAGATTTTGTTACGGCTTGCTCGTATCTACACTTTTCTGGGTCGCCCCGAGGAGGCCATGACAACCTTTGGTCGCATCACGCCCGCGCCATCCGCCAAGGACATGGCTCCGACCAAGGAGATGATGTACCACATTGACACCGCTAAGCACATTCTAAAGCAAGGCACTGGTGTTACCATGGCTCTTCATGCCATAGACCAGGCAGAGCGCGGGTTGGGATCTGGTGTCCAGAAGCCTCGCAAGTGGCAGCTCCTACGCGGCGATGCACATTTGCTTGTTGGCCGTGAGAATAATTTGGGTGAAGCACAAGGCATTGCAATGGCTCTGTTAAGAAACAATGCCCAAGACCCTGAGGCTCTTGTACTCCGCGGCCGAGTTTTCTACGGCCAGGGCGACAACACCAAGGCCATTCAGTCGTTCCGTATGGCCCTCACCTGCGACCCAGATTATCGTGATGCCGTCAAGTGGCTCAAAACAGTGCAGAAACTAGACCGCATGAAGGAGGAAGGCAATGTCGAGTTCAAGGCTGGTCGATTCCAAGCCGCCATCGAAAAGTACAGCGAAGCTCTTCAGGTTGATCCCAACAACCACAGCATCAATGCCAAGCTCCTCCAGAACCGCGCTCAGTGCAAGATTAAACTCAAGCAATACAACGAGGCAATCAAAGATGCCGAAAAGGCCGTCAGCCTTGACCCTAGCTACCTCAAGGCCAAAAAGACCAAGGCCAACGCACTTGGTCAGGCTGGAAACTGGGAGGAGTCGGTCCGAGAGTGGAAGGCGATTCAGGAGGCTGACCCTGAAGACCGCACTATTCCAAAAGAGGTTCGCAGAGCAGAACTTGAGCTGAAGAAGAGCCTACGGAAGGACTACTACAAGATTTTAGGTGTGGAGAAGGACTGCGGGCCTGATGATGTCAAAAAGGCCTACCGTAAGATGGCCATCAAGCTTCACCCTGACAAGAACCTGGACGATCCAGATGCCGAAGCCAAGTTCAAGGACCTGTCAGAAGCCTATGAAACCTTGAGCGATCCTCAGTAAGTTTAGCCTCAGGATGTGCCATCGAAGATCAAGCATATGCTAACCCTCGCATAGGAAGAAGGCTGCCTACGACAATGGCGACGACCTCATGGACCCTGCAGACATGTTTGGTGGTGGGGGTATGGGTGGCATGGGCGGAATTGACCCCGAGATTCTTTTTAGTATGATGGGCAACCAGGGCGGTTTTGGCGGAGGCGGCTTTCGATCCGCCGGAGGATTCCCTGGTGGTGCAGGAGGCTTCCCAGGCGGTGCTCAGTTCAACTTTGCCAACGCCGGCGGTGGCCGATCCCGGGGCGGCCAGTTTCCCTTCCAGTGACCACCAGCTCAAGACGCGCTCGAGAGTGAGGAGGAAGAGGAAGAGGAAGAGCAGGAGGCAGTTCAGTGTGACACAGACGACTGCGATTCTCGGGACACGCACGTCCATGAGGATCATGCCACAGCTAAAGAAAAGCTTATGCGTAAGTATCAGCAACGCCGCGACGCCCGCAACAGTCTAGTTGATACACTACGTCAGTACGGCATGGTGGTTGTGGCGGCTGTGGTTTTGCTGCCGCCACACCTTGCCGTTGCCGCTGTATTTTGCATGGTACTGGTGTATATGTTGATGAGATATGTTAACTGTGCCAGCGCCGGGGGTGGCCGATCCCGGGGCGGCCAGTTTCCCTTCCAGTGACCACCAGCTCAAGACGCGCTCGAGAGTGAGGAGGAAGAGGAAGAGGAAGAGCAGGAGGCAGTTCAGTGTGACACAGACGACTGCGATTCTCGGGACACGCACGTCCATGAGGATCATGCCACAGCTAAAGAAAAGCTTATGCGTAAGTATCAGCAACGCCGCGACGCCCGCAACAGTCTAGTTGATACACTACGTCAGTACGGCATGGTGGTTGTGGCGGCTGTGGTTTTGCTGCCGCCACACCTTGCCGTTGCCGCTGTATTTTGCATGGTACTGGTGTATATGTTGATGAGATATGTTCGGCCAAGTAGCCGCAGAGCGACGAAACCAACTGGATAGACCATGTTATTTTTGGGAGGGCAAATACGCAAGGACGCTTCGTCGCATGTGAACATCTACCAGGCGTTATAGACCATTTTTTGAAAATGATTTCTATTAATTTTTTTGCCCACTCTTGTTCAATCCTTTTGTTTTTCTGGAAACAGACACAACAAGACAACAGCAGCCTCGGCTGCTATCGAGGAAGCACATGACTCACGGGTTTCATAAGGATGGGTTGTTTCCAATGGTGGATAGAAACGCACTTGAACGATGACGTGTGTATATACACCAGTTTATGTCATTCTCAAGTACAGTGAAAGTCAATTCATCACGGGGTATCATAGTGTCTACTTTGCTCCTTTTGCTGCCCATGTGTCACAAGCATGTATTCATCCTGTTCACTCCCGGCCCCAGCGTCATCTCGCGCCGTTCCCAGCCGCGCCTGTAGAAGAAGACGCACCGGCAGCAGCAGCACCATTCACCTCGGGCAGGGGCCGGCCACCCGTCTCGCGCACAACCCGCTCCACGTCGGCCCTGACCTCGGGCAGCGCAGTCGCCATCTCGCGCGCCAGCACGTCCCTGAACTCCCCAAAGGCGTGCATCTTGCCACGCATGAGCTGGTTCCCGCGGCGCACGAGCTCCACGAACTCGCGCGTGTAAATGTCCGGGTTGCGGCCGTTCTCGACGTACTCGAGCAGTTCGGGCGGGACGGACGGCAGCGACGCGTTGCCGGATGTCGTTGCGTGGAGGGCTTGCAGGCTTGCCGAGAGGGTTTTCCTGCACGCTGTCAGATTCGCGTGCTCGACCTTTTGATGTGGGGAGGGGAGACGGCATGTTACATTTCGTTGGAGAGGACGTCCCGGCTGGGGCGGCCGGTGGTGTCGTAGGTTGAGACTTGGACCATGATTTGGTAGAGGTCTTGGATTATGTCCTTGAGCTGCTCTGCTAGAGGTTAGAGGGTGGGGCGCTGGGTCTGGGACGTATTGGGGCTTCGCGTACGCTCGAGGACGTCGTGGTCTAGGCGGTCGACTGGTGCCATGGTGGTTTGTCGGGTTGGAAGAGGTGGTTACGGGAGTGAGATGCAGATGGCGGGACGTTGGCTTGGGAGGTTTGGGAGGTTTGGGAGGTTGAGGGGGTGGGGCGGCCGAGTGGGCACTTGGCGGAAACAAGCGCGGTCTGAGTGAGCTTTGGAACGGGTAGGTACTAGGTTCTCTTGAAGGTTGAGAGGAAAATCGGGCGATGGTGCTCCAAGTCTCGGATATAGCAAGGATGATAGGTGGCAAGCGCGTTCACTGGTGTTGAACGAGATGGACACGGCCGATGAGTTCATGAGCATCTGGTGCATTTGATATTTTATTATATCCTGACACGCCGTATTTCCCTTGTCAACTAAAGCAACAGCCTCGGGAGACTCTTGTGGGTAAAAGAATGCTGCGTGCACAATTGGTTAGTTTTTCGCCTTGTCCGTTCTACCAATTCGGTTGGGTTTGTCAAAAGCAGGAAAGCGACTCACGAGTATCCATGGGGCCGGGAGCAACTGCGTTGACGCTGATTCCGGGGGGCTGAAGCTCCTTTGCGACGCCCCGGGTGAAATGCTCAACTGGAGCCTTGGATCCGGCGTACGAAGTAGAAAAGCCAGTAAAGGCGGCGAGGAGAGCACTGACAATGGTTATCAGCTTGCCGCCGTCTTCGACGTTTTTGGCGCCGGCCTTGAGAATGAAGAATGCAGACTTGGAGTTGACCCTATGCCATGTTAGTTTAGCCTGGAGCTGCATATAAAAGGGAGGAAAACATGGGAGTAACTGGGATTCGCATACGCAAACATCTCATCATACTCGGCTTCCGTAACGTCTTGAATTGGCTTCTTGAGCACCTTGCCCACGGTGTTGATAACAATGTCAATCTTCCCAAAGTCCTTCTTCACAGAGTCGAACAATTTGTTGACGGCAGCCTCGGTGGTGAGGTCGGCTTGGTTGGACCGGAACTTGATGCCAGGGTATTTCTCCTTGAGCACAGCTTCGAACTTTGTGGCATCTTCCTTCGACTTGGCCGAGTTGTAATGCAAGGCCGGGTTGGCTCCAAGTGCAGCAAGCTCTTTGGCAATATCGGCGCCAAGACTCTTGGCTCCTCCAGTGATGAGGGCAGTCTTTCCCTTGAGAGACATTGCGCAGAAGGAATATCGAAGTGAAAAACCAGGATAGTCCAAGACCCCTCGAGTTGAGGGCTGTCTAGTGAGTTTCGAGCTTTCCTAAGCTTTGCCCCCCCAAAAAATTCAAACAGCTCTCTTGGCCTTTATTCGCTGTTCCATGGCTACTAATAGGGTGTAAAACCTCCACGGCTACCCAGTGTGGGTAGTTTATTCGTGGGTTCTAGGTAGTATTAGGTAGCGAACATAGACCTAAATAGATTTATAGGGGAAAATAGGTTATTTATAATTATCTATTAGTAATATTAGGTGCTTTTAGGTACTTGAATAAAACCTATATAGCTTACTTCCTTTTATATTAAATTAAAAGTTTTTCTTATTATTATAAAATTTAAAAAAAATCTTAAAAGCTTTATTTTATACTAATATAATACCATTATTGAACCCGCAATTACATTTTACTCGTCATAACAAGCCAACGGGGTTGGTTTGAGGAGGTCGGATGAGCTGCCGAGTCAAATTCTTTACATTTCAGCTCTTATATATAGTGAACAGGAAATTGACATGTTAGGATACCTGAGTCCTGACCACGTCATATTCGACGCAGAAGTTTCTAGTTCAGGAAACATCTATGTTAGCGAGGCGTGGCTAACAAATCCGGGAGCAGACGAAGAAGAGGCTGGTGTGTTAATATATCCCATCATGAATTGCTCCGTCCCCTCCCTAGCGCATGTGCCTCTATACCGTCTGGCAGGCTGCGTGTCGCTAAGTGGTATGGAGTTCTGCGGTGAGGACACTCTGTGGCTATTCGTTTTAACCACTTTCCACTAAGGGGGCATTTCTCATGCATGCTACATGGATGATTCACTACTTTAAGTGTATTTGGGGTGCCTTGGCCGTGGAGTAGGCCGCATAAGTGTGGCAGAGTGGTCACGCATCATCCAACCGTCTGTTTTTGTATACACCGTCGTAACCCCGTCAGGCAACTTACGGTGGTAGCTGCGGATACACGTATTCCTGGCCTGGCGTCGCGTCCGTATCGTGTCGATAATAATAAGCTACCATAACCCTGGCATCCAGCTATCATGCAACGCTATCATGTAGCCAGGAAGTCGTAGCCATCGACTTGCTTTGGCTTGGCAGCCCCCAGCCTCTCTGATTGTGCGCCCCGTGTCTCGCAGACTTGTCATTGCGGTCAAACTGTGTCAAGTCGCAGCCTCCCAGACTATGACGGAGCAGCGAGACAGTGAGTGGTAGGTGTTCGCCTCTTCCCTATTGATAATTGATATCATGTGACCATCTCCCACCTACGCCTATTAGCGTATCAGGATGCTTGACCTATGGGTTGGTGCAAAACTAAAAGCATGGATCCTAGCTTCCTACTAACAGCCTTAGGACTAAGAGCTCGCTCTGAAATGTTTCACTTCCTTCGCCTTCGTTCTCTCACATACTGTGATCTACACAGTCTACAGATATATCTAGTCATGTTATGCTGTCGAGTTATCGTAAGGCAGCTGCTGTAGTGAAACTTCTCGCACACATCACTATGGATACAATTATGAGTACTTTACTTGGTAAGGTGTTGAGACGACTTGCTCGAGGTGGATCAGAACCTACCATTGAGTGGCAGAATCGCGTGTCTTGTAGATAGAATTTTCTGAGCAGCATCGCATCCGTGACACGATGTGTGCTAAAGAGGCGCCTGTCGGCTTCACTGTTCTTTGCCGTCGAGATGATCTCAGACTTGCCATCTCAAACACCGCATTTCCGGCTGCTAACTTTTTCCTTCCTGCCAAGCGTTCATCGGGAGCTGTGACGCCGCTAGTGCACGTCGTGGGCATTGTACTGCCTGATGAATCTGCTTTGGAGCCATACTGAAGCATAATTGGTCCAGAAGCGTCTTGAATATGAGCTCGTCCGTGATCGTCAGTGATTAGGTTCAAGTAACGGCGTTGTGCGCAACGTCGACGTCTCAATCGGTGCTTCGAACCTAGTGAGCCCAAGTCTTGCGTCTTTTTTCTCCTGTTTTGTTTTTGACTCTGATCTCCATGTATTCGAATGAAATCTGGCTGGTTGCATTTGAGGGAGGACGGGCCAGTTTTCCTGGGACTCTGCGAAAGAGATTCCTCCACTAAAGAGGCTCCTACATGCATTTTCGATGCTGTTGCATCCTCCGACCCTAAGGTTACTGATGGAAAATTGCTGGCGGCGTGTCCCCAAGTTGCGGTTGCAGAAGAGCTTGCAATAAAACCGGCTTGTTCTTCTGCCTGTTGAATACTTTCATCATGAAATTGACTGTCAAGCAAGCACGTGACATTTGCCGCTGTTGTAGAAGAGTCCTCGACCGATGCTAAAGTAGAATGGCGCGTTGGAGCTTGGATGTCTAGCTGATTCACCATTGAACCTAAGCCGATATGAGCGTTTACGTCGATATCCTGGTTATTGAGCGGATTAGTGTACCAAGCTTCGTCCAGAAAGAGAAACATCCAGTCGTCGTGATGAGGGTCGGCTGGTGAAGACACCGTAGCCTCTAATAAGCTATCCATATTATTCGCTCAAGTGAAGCTGTATTCCGTCCTTCACCGGAATAAAGTCCTGTCAGGGATCCTGGTAGGGCGACAACTGCGATTTGGGGGTTTGTTCGGGGTGGAGGAAAGTGCAACCAGATCCTTCAGGGTTATGACAGCACTATGAAAGGTCGAATTGGTGGTGGAAGAGAAGTGCTTCGGGTCAGCAGTCTTGGTCGTGCCATCATCTAGGGCAATGGGTGAGGCGGCCGAATACTCCAAGTTGTGGTGGCTTACCAGCAACCCCAACTGGTGCTACCAACAAGCGAGGTCTCGGTAGAGTCGCAAAAGCTCGGATGGGGTTTCAAGGTATGACAGTTGGCTCTTGACCCCGAGCAGCCTGTCCCGCCTGCCCGTGTCCTGTCTGGTTGGTAACCATGCTTCGTCACCGGTTGGCACGCAAGCCTGCATCCCTGCACATTAGGGGTCAACACAGATGCTCGCCAAGCTGTATTTCCATGTGTAGGCCAGCAGTTCTTCCTGTCACATGAAATTTCGCGTTTATTCTCGTTCAAAACATTATTTGCAGAGGCACTATACTAGTTACGCTTATCCCCATCTCTAGTAGCCAAAGTCCAAATGCCTAGTTTCGCCCCAGAGTCCAAGATCCATCCCTTCGCCCTGCTGAGATTCAAGAGTCTAGACCAAGTGTGCCGCATGATCTAGCCTATGCAACCGGGCCGTGCGCAATCTTTGGAGACAAAGTCCCCCCGATATCCAGGGGGTAGATGATTCTCAACCAACAAAACACCACTCCCAACCCTCGCCCGCCGTGATCCTGTACGCACGCCCAACCAAGTCGTTTCACATAGCATCTTTTACATCATCAAACACAGCGAATGAAGGGATGGACGCACGGGACGGCTGAGGCAACCAAGCACCGGCCGCACTAAGTAAACGGGATAATCACGTCCAAGGGAAGACACTTGGCGATGTTTTCCGGACGCCAAGTCTCTTCCGAACTGCCACACTACCCACTGCACAAAATGCGAAGCACGTCCTTGTTTCGCTTCTTGTGACCAGCCTTGTATTCAATAGGTGAGATGAAGCCTGGCCACACATTTAACAAACCAAGAACTACCCTGCTCCTGGAAAGGCTAATCAAATCCCTATCCCAACATCAAACGTAGCCAGTTCCCCGACCTAGGCTGGCGGACCAGGAAGTGACTCAGGTGCCTGGGAATATGTCGGCATGATGTGTGAAGATGCCAACCAAACAGGCTGTGGATAAATTTCTACAAGCCCTGACCCTCTGCTTCCTAAGGAGCTGAGTGGGAACCCAGGGGCCCAGGTCGTCGTGGCGTCAGATGCTTCAGACCATTTCACTGTTGGGGGTGGTTCGTGTTTCCTCCACCGAGAAAACAGACATTCCATTTGGTAAACGCCGAGACACACCTTTGAGGCGGCCGAGGTGGACCGCTGCACCATATTTTTGACGGTCTCTCCGTTCTGGCTCTAAGCCACCGATCATCGACATTGATTTGGTCGTTGACGACCTTTCGGGCTAGACAAACATGAGGCTTCAAAGCATTTCATATCCAAACTATGGCACCCAATTCGAACTAGCCCTTGAATAGGTCGAGACTTCTTAGCTGAGATATTGAGCTGAGATATTGGTGCCCTGCAGTTCGTGAAATCTCTTCACCGTCCAATCAAATACGTTGTCGTATTTGAAGCCCCTTGTCGCGAATAGTCCACTGAAGAGTTTCAGAAGGGATGCGTAATTAGGCTTGTCTGTAGGCTGAAGTGATCGAGTGTACTTTATGTAAGTGGTAAATTCTTCTGGAAGTCCATCGCAAAGACTTTCTACGCTTGTACTCTTTTTCTTCTGCTTGATCAGTTCGGACCGCTCCTTGTCAGTCGATGCCTTTAAGCCTTGCCAGGGTAAGGAGCCACAAGCAAAGTACAGAAGGACATATCCCAGAGACTCCAGGTCATCACCCCAAGATTGTTCTATCTTCTGTTAGATTTTGAGAGCCATCAGTATAAATATAGACTCACTTCGTCCATTTTGATTATTGAGACTGGCATATCGATTGGTTCCTCCAAGAGGGCGGTTGTCCCGCACTCCAAAACCATCAGTTGCATCAAAATCTCTCGCTAGGCCGAAGTCGAAAGGACATTACCGTTATCGCCAGTTCCCAAGAGAAAATTGTCCGGCTTGATATCGCAGTGTAGGTAACCATTATCGTGGATTTATTTGAGTCGACGAATAGCTTGGTCTGCTATGAGAAGGAACGTCTTAAGCGAGAATTTCCGGCTGTAATAGTTGAACAGATCTTCGAGAGATGGTCCTAGCAGTTCGTGCACCAAAACATAATAGTCGCCTTCCTGACCGAACCACATGACACGTGGGATTCCAGTTTCGCCAGACAATGCAGAATATGCGCTAGCTTCATATTCTAATGCCTCGGGACTGTCACGTATATGTGTGGGTTTCATCGCAACCTCTTGCTTTGTCTCAACATCGGTTCCTAACATAATCATTTTAGCCTTCACTCTGAAGCAGTAGGGAAGAGAGTCGTACCAGAATAGACAAGACCAAAGCCTCCCTCCCCGATCCTGTAGTCAACGCGGTATTTCTTATTGACGAGAATATCCTGCAAGAATCTCATGTGAGATAGCTTTACATAGATTTACAGATCAAGGCTATTCGTACCTTCATCATGGAATGATGGGTGTCGGGTTGGCACTTGAAGTGGACGAGGAGGTGCCAGAGTAAAAATGCGTGAGGCTTTGCAAGCTAGCTTGGGTTGGTAAAGCCGAGATGTATGCCCACCATTATTTCATGCCAACATCTGTGGGAAATGGAGCCAGCTAGAAAATCTTCGTTTCCATTAACTTGGCGTGGCGGGGAAGCAGTGCGCATTCACATATCTACCTCCCAGGTGCTCATGGTATCTTGCATGCGTGTACCAGCAATCCAGTGAGGTCGACGTCGGGCGGGTGGACCGGTCTGGAACAGCCAGCCCCACCTTCACCATGTACACCTCCCACCGCTAGGCGCGTGATCTGTGACTACATCCTCCTCTGCCGGCTCAAACACGGCCAGCAGCACATTCTGACCTTTGACTGCGACCTCCCGCCTCCCCTTAAAACATTTCCATCCGTCGTTCTGCCAAGCCATAACGATGGGCCGCTCATGTCGAGGCCACAGAATCAAAAGCGACCGCGCGTAAACCAGAGCAAACCTCCCTCTAAAAAGGCCAAGCTTACTAGAGAAAGGAACTTCTCGCTAGAATTTTGGGATAACCTGTCGAAAGTCTGGCTTACGCCGCGTGCTTTAAGGGAGCTTGACCGTCAAAACAAGACCCAACCTTGGCCGAAATTTCCAGTACCCAAGTTACATCCGACACAACTTGCTCAATTCGCGCGGCACGGAGGCCCGGACCTCTGTTATCTTCGAGGAGTATGGCTTTAATCTGCCTCTAATAGTTTTATACTAATTGCTCTGGCTAGTATACCGAACGCAATAGCCTTACGGAAGATATAAGCTCCAGTCGCTCTTTAACGTCCCAAAGCCGGCAGACGAGGTCAACGAATGCAACAAGCGTCGGCACTAGAACGAAGTCTTCTGCCTACGGCAAGGAGTTCCAACAACACCTCACCGATTACAACATATATCGTGCAGACTACGATTATGACGACGATGCCCCTGAACCTAAAAACCTAGCTCAGATACATCAGGAGCTAACGGTGGAAAGAGCATCGCTATCGCCGTCTCAATTTACTCCGTCAGCTTTCCGAGATTTCAAGCAAAGGAATGCGCAAGCAACCTTTAAGAAAGACGTTATGAGAACTATCATTCCTATGATTTCTGGTAACTCTAGCATTCATAACCAGCAGGACGTACGGTTCACTAAGCTTAAGCCTATGACAAACCAGAATGCAGTAAAACCACAGCCGGATTTCTTTGATGGAGCTCGCCTAGGAGATCTTACTCAAAAGGTCAGGAACGATCAAGCTATACTGTCAACGGGCATCCCTACCAAGCATCCAAGTGTCCCGGTAGAGCCAAACTTTTTCCTAGAAGTCAAGGGGCCTAACGGGAATGCTGCGGTAGCCCAGCGGCAGGCTTGCTACGACGGAGCATACGGGGCCCGCGCCATGCACGCTTTGCAAAACTACCACGACGAGCCAATATATGATGGCAATGCCTACACCTACAGCTCGACCTACCACGACGGTAATTTGAAACTGTACGCTCATCATGTCACCGCCCCGGCCGCCCCGGAAGGTCGACCAGAGTACCACATGACGCAGATTAACGGATGGCAAATGACAGGCAATATCCACACTTTCCGCCGCGGAGCAACTGCGTTCAGAAATGCAAGGGATTATGCGGAACGTCACCGGAACAGCTTTATTCGGGCTGCGAACGCCATACCTATTCAAGGGACAACAGTGACACAAGCAGACCTCGTTGAAACAAAAGAAGAGGTCTCTGGCCCTCTCGGTCTGCATCCGTCGGAAGATAATACAGTGTATACTGCCTGGCAAGATGCGGACTACGCGCTTCAGCAGCAGATCGCTGACAGCAGCAGATCGCTGACAGCAGCAGATCGCTGACAGCAGCAGATCGCTGACAGCAGCAGATCGCTGACAGCAGCAAGGATACCCTTCAGCCTAAAATCGGGGCACAGAGTACTACACCCCGATACCCATACGCCGAAGAGGATACACCAGATCCGAGCCAGGAATCGGCAGCTTTGGCCCTCAACGACCAGCCCATGAGCTCTGCGTCCAGTTTCACCACTTTGACCACAGATCCAGTACAGCCGAAGCGTTCGAGGGATGCTATCAGCCCACCCTCCACTTCCAAGAGAACCCACCCATCCCAGCGACGCACAGACTCACGTACAGCGTGGCGCTCTACACGGTCGTCTGGTCGGGATGCGGTATCTACGTCTTCAGTTTCAGAGACTTCTCTTTGGGTAGAGACATATTGGCGTAGAGGTAAGATATGCTTCACAGATATGAAAGGGGAGGAGGTTCAGACTGAGTTGCAGGAATGGACGGCACAAATGGTGGATGAATCACAATGCTACTATTGGCAAAGCGACGCGTCGCAACCCTCGTTCTGGGTAACGGAGTTGCCCAAGGAGGAGAAGAAAGGTCGCCGACACAGATCGTGACTAAATTACGGTTGTGATGGAGATGGTTTTGGTGGCAAGTGAAATTGTACCTTCCTCAGTGACTTGATTAATGCGCCAGACAATTGATTTTTGGATGCGAGTTGACTTAAATTGGTAGAGTCGGCTGTTCTGCTCAAATCAAAATTTGCACATCAGATCGGTAGTCTCTATGGAGTCTGAGGAAATGACCAAATATCACAAGTTTTACAAAACGCCCGGCCGTCCGAAGTCCTTTTTCTCTGGGACACAAGAAAAATACAAAATGCTTCGATGTGAGTTGGCGCACGGTTTTAGCGACAAATCGATCATGGATCAAGAGAACATTATTACCGTATGTGTTAATGCATTCATACCACTGGTATAGGTATTAGAGTCCCAGTCGCTCTCTCGAATAAGTGTCCATGTTGATCCCAGAACTCGGCAAGAAGCAGCGCTACTGCGTCGAACTCGCGTGGCAACGAGCAAATAATGCCAACTTCGAAGTCTTGTAGTGGGCGGGATGGGGCATCAATGCATCGACTAAGTGGCTAAACCGCTGTCACCTAGTCAGTATGTGTCTGTCAAAGCAATATAATGCTACCTATTACTAATAATCTCTAAGGCCTGGTGTCGATGGCAGGCCCAGTCAATAGAAGTTCTGAGAACAATTTGTGACAGGCATGAAAGGTAGGTTTCCAGCCCAGAACGAGGCGGCAACCCCGCTCTCTAACCGCCCGTCACCAACCGGCTCGGCCCGCCAATGGATCCAAGCCCGTCTCAAGCGAACCTGTTTGCCCACTAGTGGAGACTATTCTCGATCTGCCAGAATCTAGGGCGGTGTTCAAAGTGGCCATGCACTACTATCACAGACTTTCAAGTCATCATTAGCAAAAGTATGTCAGCCCCTTGTACGTCTACAAAAGGCGATTACATGCTTAGTTCTGTTTTCCTAGATTCGTCTGAATGTTGTGACGTGGCACCGTGTGGCAGGTGGCAACAGTGTGAGCAATCCCTGGCTGCCTCACCTCACTAGTTATGACAACCCCGCTTTAACCCGCCGTCCTCCACATTGAAAATCATTGCAACAGAGGAAGCGAGTCCAGTGCATTAGCAGTATTGTTTCCTTTCTCTTCCCCCATCCCTTACCGATCGGACAATGGAAGCAGAACAATGTGTAGAACAAGGACCTTTGGTCATAGACTTGCCATATCACCATTATATTCGTTCACTTCACACTCACTTTCCACACCTCGAAGCTTTATCTTTATACTTAGAAGAATGCGAAAAATCAAGAGCGTCTGCGCAGCTTGGATCTCACGACTCGAACTCGATCCTGTTGGCTGAAGTAGCCAACTCTGGTAATACGACTATCCACCGGATCGACTGTTACGACCACAATGATCTGGATCATTATCGTGATGTTTTCACTGGCCATGGCGATACTTCAGTTATTCGCTCACGCATCTTGGTACTTGAAGGCCTTGCGCCAGCCACAATTGAACTGCTTGGTTCTAGTTTCAACTTAGATCCTCATGTATTCTATTTTCATCTCGGATTTGACACGAGGCGTTCAGCAATGGTGGACATAATTGATCCTCATCGGGAGAGTTCGATTCCTGTTACCTGGTGTATGCCGGGTCACGCCCCAGACAATTTCATCAGCGTACCTTTACCTTGCGATTTAAAGCCGATGATTTCCCGGAAGCCAGAAAGCGGGCTGCCAATGTCAAAAACGTATATCCGACAGGCTTACCGGCGAATAACAGATCTCCACGGGCCATACCAAGACTGGGATACACCACAGAGAGCCTTTCACAGGGTCAGCTTGGTAACTGTTCAGAGCGATATTGAGACAAGTAGGTTTCTAGCGCTACCTTGGGACTCTGTTTTTGTGACTCTGCTAACTGAGTGAAGTCATTGTATGGCATACCCCACGTGGAAACGTATCTCGCTGTGTCACAGTCCCCACACAATGAAGTTCTTGACTCATACGGCTTTTCGCTAGCCTCGCCCACGATGTCGCCATAGTTAGGACTTTCGCAACAGAATCAGGTTGGCCACGGAAGAGAGTTCGAAAGACAGGGTGTTTGGTCTGAAGGGCAATGGGAACGTACGGAGCCCTTGTTATTGCATGAACCGAAACCAGAGTCATGCTTCATCCGTGAGCGTGCGCTCCTCTGGTTGTACTCGAAGCTAAACGACCACTATTTCCTTGCCTGTCAGAACGAGGGTAGATGTTGGCGAGCTCTACGAGAGGTTCTCGAATCAGGTTCAAATAGGGACCGCACATCCCAACTGCCAAAAAGACAGTTTCGAGATAGTATGACGAAAACTGTTGAGTTGCTGAAGATTTCGATAGAGTGGCTGGATAGAACACTCTATCCGGTGACAGACTTGGAAACTTACAACAGCCTTCGCCGAAAGACTAGTGTGTGTGGGGTTACTTGCCGAGGCATAGCCTCCCATTAGGAAAGGGTCCAGGAACGCACAGCCTGGTCTTTCAGACAGAGGTACCTGTGTTAAAAGCACGGTCACGCAGAAAGCCGTGGAGTAGTCGGTGGCTAACAATAATCATGCGCCAAGCTAACAATATCCTTACTGATTTGATACATATAGTTACAGAATTGTGATTTGTTGTCCTCAGCTCAGTATACCGGAAACTTTGGGGTTGAGAATATGCGCCGAGAATATGTGCGGCACGAACTGGTCTTGCCACCGAAGTGGGCCTGGCGCCGTTGAGGCCTAAAGGCTACCCTGTACGTCGATGCAACTTGTACAGCAGCAACGTAATGTATACGATGCAGTAGCAGTCCAGGGTTTTTGTAGAACCTCTATCCGCTCTAATATAGTAATCAGGAAAGAGTTTCGAACATGTGAGATGGTGTGTGAATTCCATTGTCCGATGTGGGGCAAATGGTTTGGTCTTTTAGTTATGAATGATACTGTTGTAGGAGCTTGACGACGGCTACGTTATAGTTCACGCGGCGTCCGGCCGCTGTTATCCATGGCACCAATATCAACTCTCCCCTTCTCGAGCAGCAGCTTGACCGCGGCGTCGTCAAGCCAAACATCTGCAGCTGAGGAAGTTGCAGAACGCATAGCGGTCGCCCACACAGTGGCAGATCAGCCAGCGGCGGCAGGGACATTGGCAGCGTCGGAAGTTGAATACGACGACCCGCGGGCCATCCACCAGAGATATGTCGAAGCAAGACAATCCGTCTGGAACACAAAACAGCTGGCTACTAGTGTAGTCTAGATCTCGGCACCGTGCTCCGTTGCGACTACGACCACTTCAATCGCGGAGTATCATGGGAGAAGATTATGCTTAGGATTGATGGGTAGGTAATGGAAGGGCATGTGGAAGATCTCTCAGCTAGTGAGGACTCAGGAGCCTGTGAGAATCGGCTGGTACCGAACACGTCGAACCGCGTCCTAGTGGTATGAGTTGGTGCAGAAGTCCCGTTTAATGTCCATATTTGCTAATTGAATAAATATGTTGCCCTTACAACATCCCCAAGTGTTGACAGCTCATCTTGTTAACCTCCTGCCCAAATGGACCAGAGCATCATGACTTGTGACGTGTGCTCTGAGACTAATCTTTCGACTGAGGACGTGTGGGCACATATCAAGCTGCATCAGGTACGACACTGGCTGGACCTAGTCCGCCTTAATGCTCACCGAATCGCAGTCGCAACTGGCTTCATTGGTCAATCGATTTGATTCTGTGAGCTATCTAAATCGAAACACGAAGTTTTACGCAAAATCCTGCCGAGAGTTGTTGCGACCACATGGGCGCGTTGGCAAGTCTGGTGAAAACTCGAATGGTTCAAATGATTCGGAAGACTCCGATGAACGTCCTATTACAAGCTTTTCGTTTCGGCTTGGGGATCATGATAACTCCGAGGTTTGGGCATCGGCCAAAAATCACAACACGAATGACGAGAATGGCACAGTTGGGTCTCAACCAGTGCCAGTATATGTTCCAAGACGCATGCTGGTAGCTCAAACGGGCCCGAGGCTACTAAAATGTCCGAATCATAAATGCAGAAGAAAGAGATTTAAGAGGCAGCAGGAACTCGTGCGACATTTTGCTACGCGTAGGATGACTTTCTTTTCATTTGGCGTTAAATTCTAACGAGAATTGTAGATCTCGAAGTTAGCCGCGTTTATCCGTCCCCTGCTTTACAGAATTCCGCTACGCAAGGTCATTCGAAACGCACAAATGCAATGCATCGATAGAAGGGCGAAAAATGATAAAAGAGGAATACGACAAAATGTTACGAAAAGTAAAAGTTCACCTAGGGTTTGCTCAAACTTTGACCGAAACCCCTGATGTGTCAGGGATTCGATCTGAACCAAGAAGCAAGGGAGTCAATTACAAATCGTCTTCAAGAGCTGTAGCTTCAGGCGGAGGAGTAATTTCGTCACAGTCGACCTCAAACACAGCTCCTGCCA